TACTAGTTTTTGCTCGCGATTTCGTCCTTGTTAATTTCGTCATTAGTAATATATGTATATCTGACCGGGCGAACTCTATTCCGACATAAAGGATGTATATAACCAGATATTGGAGTTTATTATTATTTTTTTTATTTCGATGGAACAGAATTAAATATCCTATGTCTTTCTCTTGGTTCTAATCTATCTCTGCACCAATTTTCAACCGTATCCGTTCTTGAGTAAATAGTGTAACTAACATGACTTTTCATATATTTAATATAGGTATATACAATACAACGATTTTTTCACAAAATTCTTTGAAAAACGATTTATATATTTATTTTATTAAAGAATATACATTCACCTAGTGAGAGGACGTCAGAAACGTCGAAGTAATCGTATTCATACTTATAGAAATACGTCGATACTGCCAGTACGTCAGTTAACACAACTGGTAAGGTTTCGATAATGAGGTTAAAGTTTTCTTAAAAATATTTTCTTATTCATGAACATATGTTCTTCTACCTGGCAATTTCCCAGCTTTAGCCAGGGTCTGCCTTACATGTTGTGAATAGTTTTAGCTTATTGTTTTTACGACCGGCCGCCTGCCTGACATCAACCCTCTTTGGAATGCATTACTCAGTGATGTCTAAATACTCTTATAAAGTACATATGACTCGGAAAAATCCAGTACTTGCCAGGATCGAACCCGCGCCCTCATGCATGAGAGGCGGGCCTTTTAACCACTAGGCCACCACTGACTGCGAACATATATAAGTAAATATATAAATTATTAATACTGTATATTATACTTTTATTTGTATATAAAATAAAATTAAACTTTCATAATATATGTTTATTTATAATATGATAAGACTTTCGCGAGTATTCATTTAAATAAATATATATTTAGATTACTACGGTCTACGCGTTTTTGTCAATAAGGAGATAAAAAATCTTCACATCTCGTCGAAAGTAGGGAGTATGTAGTTAAAATAATAAAATACGCCTAGTATACTAAAATATTAGTTTTATATGTATACTAGCTGACCCGGGAAACGTTGTTTTGATATAAAAATAGGCGTTGGTAATAAAAAAGTAAAAATCTTGGCTTGTATGTATTTTAATGAGACATTACAAAAAAATTAAAAACAAAAAATTTAGTCAAAAAATAATTAAGCCTGAACAACCCTTATGATGGTGTGAAAAATAGATGTTAGCCGATTCTCAGACCTACTCAATATGCTCACTACATCCAAATCGGTCAAGCCGTTTCGGAGTTCTCTGTCTAACATCGCGGAGAAGAATTTTATACATAGATTAGAGTCTATAAAAGCGGGAATCGAACCTACTAGCCATACGTACTATTTATTATATTAAATAATGCATAATCAAAACTTGGATAACACGTTAAATTGGTACTTAGAAACAAAAAATAGCTCTTAGCGGTATATTTGAAACTACTCAATACTCATTGTCATTTCATTTTTGTTTCAATTATTAACAAACTAGTCAGTGGTGGCCTAGTGGTTGAAAGCCCGCCTCTCATGCACGAAGACCCGGCTTCGATCCTGGCAAGTACTAATGTGATTTATCAGAGTCATATGTACTTTCTATGAGTATTTAGACATCACTGATTAATGCATTCCCAAAGAGGGTTGATGTCAGGCAGGCGGCCGTAAAAACAATTAGCCAAAACTATTCACAACATGTAAGGCAGACCCTGGCTAAAGCTGGGAAAAATTGCCAGGTAGAAATTGACTTAAGTAATTCTTTTATGTATGCAGTGTGTACAACTAATTACTGAGTACACTTTGAATATAAGATACGGAACAAACAAAAGATATATATGCATTTCACAATATTTGATTAAAATTAGTAACACAAAATCAGTTACAAAAAAGCGTCGATTTAAAATACGATCACAGAAAATTTGAAACCGGTTTACTCTAGAAATATAATTTTACCCAAATAATAAGTTTCATACATAATTTCGCCGTAAAATAAGTTATAAAAATATATACCTGTTCTATTTTTTTAATACGAAATTACACTAAAACTGACGTGCGTCCAGCACGAAGGATAAATATGAACTGACTACTGAGGACAAGCCGAAGCCCGAACAACGTTTGATCAAAACTTTACTTATCAAAACACATACAAGCAAATATCATCTTTAATTTATAATACAAATAAGTCACAATTTAGTATAAAATAAATTAAACCATGACGCAACCTTGAAATCACAGCTCCAATTAGTTTAAGTTCAATGTAATTTAAATCTTAATTATATAATCATAAGCTTTGATTTACTTTGAAATAGAATTAAATCAAAACCTGATTCAAATAGTCATCGCGAGATTTAGTTTTTATAGTGTTAATTTTTAATACAAACTTTTTTGACTAACCTCTTTACTTCGGACCTGTAACTGAGGATATAAAGATATATTTTTAATATATAATATATATTTTTATAATAATTTATTAATTATTTCTCGTTCAATACTATAATAAATAATATAAACGTTCAACATTCAGTGACACACACACATTGACGAGTGTACACGTATTGATGTGTTATGTATGTGTGTGTGTGTGTGTGTGTGTGTGTGTGTGTGTGTGTGTGTGTGTGTGTGTGTGTGTTTCATACACTGCATATTAAACACATCTTCATGTACTTTTTCTTAATATAAACTATTTCTGTATGACGTGACAACACACGATGACTCGACTCTCTTAAAAACTATTTTTTTACATAATAACAATGTATACTCACGGTGGCCTAGTGGTTAAAAGTCCGTCTCTCGTGCATGCGGGAGCGGGTTCGATCCTGTCAAGCACTAATGTAGACAAAAAATGAAGAATATACATATATATGTATATATAAAATGTTTTGTAAACTTTGAATAATTCCTAATATTTTATTGTTAATACTTGTCCTTTTACTAAGTCAGTACACATCATAATTATTTTTTTCATATAAGTACATATAAAATAAAAGAAATTATACTACTTTATATAAATCACCCAAAAAATATTTAATTTTTCTTATCAAATGCACTCTTTTAATGAATTTAATTTTAAACATAAAAATAAGAAGTGGGATTTTATATTTTTAAGAAGGGTTTCCCATGTTTTTGATAGGTTCCAGCCATCTTCTCCATTGAAATTGGGATGTTTTTTAATTTCAATAGCCTCGCAGATTAACCGTGGTATATACTAGTCTTCACGAGCCTGTCGATATCTGTCTTTTATATGTTTTTAAAACTTATTATGTATATTAAAAGCGGACGAAATCGCGTGTATAAACTGTATGTATATTTTTAGTGAAATGAGTATGATTTCAAAATCCAAATTCAATAAAAATATAAATGTGTTACTTGATATGTGAGATATAAAAAGTATCCTTGAACAACTTTATACCTAGTAATTAATACATTGTGGCTATTATGAAATAAATATATAGAGAGAGGAGCTTGGACGGTGGAGGTGAGCGTTTAACGTTAGATAGGGTCCCTTAAACCTACACCTGGGTCACAAGTCCCAGTCACTGTTGAAGCTCCTCACTACAACGATGGACCCGACACACGCACCGTGAATACTGAATGATGCAATATTAATAAACATTGAAAGAATCACAATATTATTACAAATCACTCATTTCAGATCATTATCTGTTTGCCACAATCTTATCAAAATCGTTCTCGGGCGTTCAACTGTAAGGGTGAGCTACCTCAATTTACTCTTTTATTTGTTAATGATTTTTATCCTTATAAAGGATTATAAAATATTACTACGCAATTAGTATTGAAAGTTCGAAACTAGATAAAACAAGGGAGAATTAAATAAATGGACGATATGTTATAGACTAAAAGCTGATAAATATTGAAAATAAATATTTTAAAATACACAGAATTATTTGTACACAACGTATCACATAAAAATGCAGTGATAATTATGCTAAGGGTTTTATGAAGATAATATCAAACTACGCCTTCCATAAAAATATAGCTACATAAATCAATAAGAAATTGCTATATAAAACAGACAGGCGAGAACGCAGAATTAATAATGAAGTGTATTTATAGTATAACTAGCTTTCCGCCCGCAGCTTTGCCCGCGTGAGTCCGGTTATACCGCGTTTCCAAGAGAACCTTTGAAAAGTCTGGGATAAAAACTATTCTATGTTTTTCTCAAAGTCAACTCTATCTCTGTACCAAATTTCATTAAAATCAGTTCAGTGGTTTAGGCGTGAAAGCGTAACAGACAGACAGACAGACAGACAGACAGACAGAGTTACTTTCGCATTTATAATATTAGTAGGGATGGCTATTTAGTGACATCCCAAATTATATAATAAAATCAAAATCTTGAGCAGATACGGATTTGACTTACTTTTTATAAATAATAACGTTTGTTATAAGGGTGACCATTTAAATGACTTTTAATATATATATCTCAAAAAAAGGTTCTACTATTTTTATATGATTAATTCGTAACTCTAATTACTTTCATTTGCAATGATAAATGCCCAAATTAAAAACAGTTTGTTTCTGATGATTGCTGAACCGTTGTTTTGTTCCAATTACTCTTAGTTTTAGTAAAAAATAGTTGTGGACTGTGGCATTTATTAAAATAAAAGGAATGTAAAGGTAGAAAAGCTTCTAAAAACAAAGAATTAACTTATGTTTTAGTTTGTTAATCAAAACTCAATTTATCATAAACAGTACAGGTTGGTTATGTAGATTCAATACTGTTTTTTGGACCTTTTGCTAAGATTGTTCTTCTTGTAAAATAAAACAATGAAATTTTGATAACTGTTATGAAAGTTTGTTTATAGTTAGAAATAAAATGAACAATAAAACACATTTAGTGTTATGTTTAAATAAATTATAGAGGTTAGAACAATTGGTGGATAAATAAAATCTCTTCAATGAATTGATAATTTGAGAAGAATCAATCTAAGATCTGGACTCCGATATAAACATAATATATGCCATATTCCTTTTAATTTCTTCTCAGGTATTCTTCTTCAATATCACCTTCTGTTCTTCATCAGTTATAAACTCTCTGATCTTCTCTTCACTCTCAAACTGAACTCTGTCTTCTGCTCGAACCCTATCAGTTCTAGTCACATACTTTTTAGAGACTTCTATAAACTTATCAACGTCTACTTCTGCTGCTAACTTCTGGTAGCTAGAGTAAACGTCTTTAACTCCAGCCAAAACGTTTGAAGGGAAAATCGTGACCAAATCTTCGATAAATTTTTTCTTCTGCAAAATATAATCGATGTACTCATCATATGAAGGATATTTCTTATGATCTTCCACGCAATTAATGTAAAGTTTATATAGGGATAAAATTCTGTCGAATTGTAGAGCGTCTGCTGGCTCGAATGATATTTGTATTTGATTCATGTCATGGTCATTCTTGATGATGACTTTTTTAGTTATATGGACCAGTTCCGTGTAAAAAGATTTATTTTTGTCGATAGCGAAGTAAGGACGGAATGTTTGTGGGCAAATATCGAAAGTATCTGAACTATCTTCTTCAGAAACAGGGGCGTCTACGTAGTACAACAGATGGACATAATCGTTTAGATGAACAGCACCTTGCACCACATCATCATTCAACATCTCCTTGTGGTTTGGTTTAAGGTAATTCAATTTGTACAGATTCTGAGGTTTTTCTATTTCGCTGACCATAAATCCGTCCACGATTTTGAAAATATTTGCCAACAGATAGTAGATTTTGTCCCTACGTTTGGGTATTTTCTTCAATATCATCACATGACTGAGCAGTTCGCGCCGTTTTTCAATAGCTTTCAAATCCAGGTCATAATTAAAGTACTTCAAGATTTCGATCATAGCGTGGGCCACTCCGTAGAACATTCTCAGTCTTTCGTGACAGAAGTTCTGTGGATCGTGTTTGAATAGCGTCGAAGACAGTTCAACGCTGTACCACAATGCTGTTAATAGTGAAGTTTTATTTGGAGGGTCAAGTGGTAGAGAGGAGAGTCCTATTCTGCAGATGGTACCACTTACACGTCTCATGGCATACTCCCTGAACCGGTCAACAACATTACGATCCATCCATTCTTTATTTTCGCAATTCTTCCACAGCACATAATAGAATAATCCCACATTGAAGTTCACTTTCTTGTGATTGAAGTAAGTTGCGGACATTATGTAGTCGTTGTACTTATCAAATGCATCAATCTCCGTCAGTACTAACCCTCCGTGAAAGGGTTTTCTTGTTCTTGGCTCTGTCAAATTTGTTTTTCCGTTCGCCAACAGCTGTTTGTAAACGTTCAGAGTGTAAAAATAACCAATGGATTCACTGATATCCTTATCGTTTAACAAAAACAATGGGCACTCCATGGCCGTTTTGAATTTACTGAAGCTAGCTGGCTGTATTTCATATGGATTTTTCTTTCCATGGAAAATGATCTTATCAAGTAAGTCCAGTTTCGTGAGGATCACAACAGGTATGCCTCTATCATCATCAAGTATGATATCAGGAAATTCTATTTCTTGTTCGGTAGCGAAGTCAACGTCAATGATTTCTTCCTCTTGGACGGTCTTGTTGAATTTTGAATCAAACTTCAGTACGTCAAACGAGTAACTTTTAACATCACTTGTAATGTAATTGATTAGTGTAGTTATGGATTTTTCGATATCGACTTTGATGTCATGTTCTGAGCTAAACAGATTTCTGTACCATTCAGTTTTCACGAATGTTTCCAGGAAGACGCTTTTATCTTTAGTTTCCAAGTCAATTCTTTCTTCCGTTGACGACAATTCTTTAAACAGACGAGCACGTAGATCCTTCAATTTCTCAACCTCACGCAGAGCTAGATGATTATGTTTATTTTTGGCCAGAAACTTCAATTTGATGTAGGACTTCATTTTATCTTTTTGGACAGCGAAATTATCAATGTTGATACCGTTATAATCAAATTCTTCTGAGATATTGGTGCTGTCGGATAAATCGTAGTTTTTGTAAACTTCGCAGCGACTCTTGAAGAATGATGAAGCTACAGACAAGTCAATGTTATGCATGCGTTCATTGAAAGCATGGAAGACGACTACCTCGTAGAGCATGTCTTCATTTTTCTCGAAGCAATTTTGTACGCTCCTGCCATCGATTTGACCGTCAGTGACTATGTACAGCAACTTGATTTTATGATCACCACCGCATATGTTATTTTCTTTCAACCAATCTATGATGGTGTGTGGGCAGGTACCACAATGGTCACCTCTTTTATCAATGTAAGTTCTTCTCGTGGTATCTTCATCAACTTCCTCGCAGCGTATCCCCCAGTGCAAGTAAATAATTTTAGATTCTCCATCCTTCTCCGTATTCTCCAGCTCGGATTTAATTCTTCCTACATCTTTTTTGAAGTCTTCAAGAGTTTTTAAACCGTTGCTGTGGTAGTGAGCAATGTGGTCGGTAGATGCCGAAAAATCTTTGGCGTAAATAAAGTAGTTCACCATGTTTGATATTGTCTTGCTAACTCAAAATCCAGTCGCCACTCGTTTTTTGCTTAATATTTTATTGAGTCAAAAACCACAATTATACCTGAAACAAAAAAAAATTATAATTAATGAATTAATGAGATCAAGTCTTTGGACTTTCACGAGTATTCATTTAAATGAAACTAATATTTTTGGATTACTACACGTATTTTATTAATTTTAAAAACTACGGGTATATCTCGTTTTCGTAATCACAGTTGAGCCAAAGTAATTAAAACATCGGAAGTATGTAGTTTAAATAATAAAAAAACGCGTAGTATACAAAAATAATAGTTTCATTTTAATAAATATTCCCGATAGCCATAAATATCATTATGAAGTATACACTTCATTATTGTCGTTTATAAAATATTACAACTACTAAATTATTTCACGTATTAAACTAAATACATTACATAGAAAATGTATCTCCTATCTGACCTTATATGAAAGACCTAATAATTGTGAACATTGCGATATTACTAGCAAAAGTGCAGCTTTGTGAGGCCTCGCGATGTATTTTTCTTTGTAATAACTTATTAACAATAATAAATAATAATGATAAACAAATAATGACGTTGTTTTTATAATCTTTAGTGTTGTTATATACGCTGACGATATTTCTAACTTATAATTTAATTTTAAACTATAGACCAGTACCGATAGCTTTTAAAAAATAATTAAATTATAGTAGAATGAAACTCATTAGAAAATGAGGGGAATATTATAAAAATTAAAGGAAAAATAATTTACGGGCGATCTGAGGTCGGGAAGGGTATGGGGATGGGTGTTTAAGGGTAAAAAATGGGTTTTCTCGATTTCCGACAAAACTAAAAGTCCCACGAAAAAAGTTATATAGCAAAGTTGTAGGTAATAAAAAGATCTAAAACTTTTTTATTTACAATTTTTTCACGTAACCTTATTAAATTAAATTTATGTGAAAAATTCACTCAAAAAAATGTGAAAAAAGAAAAAAATAAATGAAAAGATCGATTATGATTTTGAAATAAAATAAATAATTACTAATATTAATTATTCATTTGGAATTTATATTAAATTATTGGAAATAGATTTTAAAATTATAGCGAAGTCTAATCTCGGCAGGTGAAATTAAAAAAATATGGCGTCTGAAAGAAAAAAGTATACCTAAGTAAGAAGAAAATTGTAAACAGAAATACATTGAGATCTCAGACTTTTTGAGTATACATTTAAATAAAACAAATATATTAAGTTTTAACACGTTTTTTAATACTCGTACATAAAAGACGTAGTAACTCCGAAAATATTCATTTTATTTTTTAATGGTCACATATTTTGATCATACGACGTCATTGCATTTTCAGTTCTGTATTACTTACTACAAGTGCGTTACATCTCACTAAACGCAAAGTTCACAGTTTATTAATCTCAAACGATCGACGTAAGTATAATAATTAACAAGAAACTGCCCGTTTGAAGTCACGATAACACCTACTAAGGCTTTTATCGTTAATCATTAAAATGCAGTTAAATTATTTTAATGATTTTATAAATTTAAATTCAATAAATTGTAATGTGTATTCTAAAATATATATTTAATTTCAACTTATAAATGAGTTATTGGTAGTTATTTTTTGCAAAAGTTATTGTCTAAACTCTAAAGATAGCATAATTATAACAAATAATGAAAATAGAAATTAATTAATAATTATTTATTAATGTTTATAAAACTAAGGAAAATCAAAAAGTATTTTATAAATTACACCGGTACAAGACACAAACTAATTTTATATTATATACTATAGATTTGATAATGTTGTATAAAATTTAATAAAAAATCTTTCTTTTTATATAAATACAGTTTGATAGAAGATTTGGGTAAAAAATATCAATTTAACAAGAAATCATAGGTAACTGAAATAAAATATAATTTATAATAATCGATTTTTATTTTTAGTAAATTTATATATTTTTTTATATACATATTTTCTTTCCTTAAATTGTTTTTTGACAAATAATCTTAACAAAGAATACGTCATATGTATAAGGCTTCTTGCAATAGTGATGCAATGGTTATTAATATCTGTTGCTAACTGCATATGTACCTACTCGATAAATATATATATTTTATTTAATAGAATTATTGTTATTTAAGTAACAAATTTAATAATTAATAAATTTAATTATATATTTACATATATTTTAAATGCCATTATAAAAGACGCCGGTAAATCTAAATATAAATAATATAATATAAATAATTTGTGTACTCACCAATCGTAATAAATATTTTATATCGCTGCATAACCCTAAATAAGTTGCAAAATAAAAACTTTTTCGTGAATTCTTTTTTGGCTGCATCCAAAGAAATTCACGCCCAGAATGTTACGTTATCACGATTACCGGTGCTTTTCAAGGCTTATCGTTTAACTCATTGCAACATATAAATGATTCATTGCACCAAATATTATTCCCTTAATATGCAATGCCCGGTACATTGTATACTAATAGGAGTTCAATATAAAATTGCTGGTTTACACATTCTGGACGCCGTTCCGTTCTACACATACTAATTACTTTATATTTGATGAATTTAAAATTAAAAAAAATGTATTAGCTATCATCTTTCATTTATTTGTGTGTGTTATATGCAAAAATATTATCAATATGTTAAATTAATATTTTAATAATAAATCTACATATAACTTAACAATATTCACTCATATTTTTATGAACGTGAACGTGAAACGAAACCGCTGTCAAAATGTATTTTGATATTTATTTTTTGTTTACACTTTACTAGTTCAAAGCGGCTTAACTGTGATTTTTAATTGTAATATATTATATATTTTTATTTTGTTGCATCAAAAAGCCCATGTCAGTGTTGAAGTTATAAATATAAAGAATATTTTTGTGGTTACTTACGACATGTTTACGTAAGCTTCAGGTCAAATAATTGTATATAATATGTATTTATATAATCTCAAAGATTCAATGGTAATGATGATGAAATATTTGGATGTTAAACTCTTCACTTATAGTAGACAAATTGAGGAGTTATAACCCTATTTCCATTGTAGGCTCTAGTCATTAACAAAAAGTTTTTGGTCAAATAAGACAAATGTGATGAAACTTCTCATTCAGTATTCATATGCGTGTGTCAGGTCCATCGTTGTAGTGAGAGGAGCTTCAACAGTGACTGGGACTTGTGACCCAGGTGTAGGTTTAATATATATAGAGAGACGAAACCTCTCATCATTCAATGTATTCACGGTGCGTGTGTCGGGTCCATCGTTGTAGTGAGAGGAGCTTCAACAGTGACTGGTACTTGTGACCCAGGTGTAGGTTTAATATATATAGAGAGACGAAACCTCTCATCATTCAATGTATTCACGGTGCGTGTGTCGGGTCCATCGTTGTAGTGAGAGGAGCTTCAACAGTGACTGGGACTTGCGACCCAGGTGTAGGTTTAAGGGACCCCTATCTCAAGCGTTCAATGCTCACCTCCATCATCCAAGCTCCTCTCTACCTATAGAATTTAATGTATTTAACAAGTTCTTGATACTTATAGTTTAAATGTATTTCAATTCTGTATTTAACCCGATAAAATCCTATCTAAAAATTAAAATCACTCTTATTTTTATATATTATATGATGTTAAGTCTGAATATATAAATAGTTGCCATTTTTCCAAGAACAGCTTACTTATAAAATACAGATGAGGAATAAATTATAATAGTTCAAATTCATAAATCCAATTACATTTGACCTTTACTCTTAAATTTGAAAATCAAATAAATATTGAAAATTATGAAAAAACAAGAACTATTCTAGTATAATATAGGAATATGGAAAAATAGTTTATCATGTGATATAAAAGATTATACATAACTTAATTGAGAACAATTATTAAATATGAAATTATGTTTTTCATGATATTTTAACAAGTGATAACATATGATATTTGACCCTGTTGAGGGAAACCCAATATTTTTACCGATACTACAATGACTCAGATAAATATTAAATTATACATATATAAAGATAAGTTATAATTTATTTTTATACATACTAGTTGTTATCAACAACTCTGTTTATGTAAAAATACAATGAAAAAAACTTAAGCACTACATGCAATGCCTCCCTTGGCGGGATATAATATTTAATTTTGGGATTGATGTAAAAGTAGCTTAAATATTACATCAACTACCTGCCTATGGAAGTCCCATTAAAATCTGTCCAGCAATTTCAGAGATTATCAGAACAAACAGAGACAAAATCAGTAAAAAAAGTTTTTTCAATATTAAAAGCGCACATTGTTATTTTATTTTTTCGTTTATACTAGCTGTACCCTGCAACATTTCGCAGTAAACAACAAAAGATAGCATATGTTTTATTATAGCTTAATTTTTGAATATACAGGGTGACTGGTGAATTACTATCAATATTTAAGGAGCATACTCGGTACATGATTCTCATTCGAATTATGTAAAAAAAATAGGTACTTAATTTTTGACCAAATTTCCGTATACATAAATAAAGTGTTGACACGTTCCAAGTGTTCCAAGTGTGGACGCGTGCGGCGGCGTGCTGATACAAAACCACGCCCCCGCCGCGTGTGTGTGAGTGTATGTGTATACCTAACCTGTAGGGTGTTCACACGATGCGTAATTAATTACACAACTTTTGGTTAACTTTACTTAGAAGTTTATTAATATTTATGTTATATTAATTTTTATTTTGTCATATATGATCGTCAAATATCACGTCCTCAAATATCGATAGTAATTCACCAGTCACCCTGTATATAATAGATTAAAACAATCGTTGAAGAGTGTTGTATATTCAACATTTTTGCTCGATTGGAGCAAAATATTCAGTTTTCAAAGCATACACAAACCAACATAACATTTGTATATTTAGATTGTGTTCTAGAATTATATGTTAATAAAAATAAGTATTGATAAGTTAGTGATGGCCTAGTGGTTAAAGGCCCGCCTCTCATGCATGAGGGCGCGGGTTCGATCCTGGCAAGTATCAGTGTGATTATTCCCAGTCATATGTACTTTATAAGTGTATTTAGACATCACTGATTAATTGATTCCTAAAGAGGGTTGATGTCAGGCAGTCGGCCGGTCGTAAAAACAATTAGCCAAATCTTTTCACAACATGTAAGTCAGACCCTGGCTAAAGCTGGGAAATTGTCAGATAGAAGAAGAAAAATAAGAATTGATAATTGATATGTTATTTGCTTGAAATATATTGAAATCTTAACCAATATTATGGCTAAAACATTGTAAGGATGTAATGAGTTACTACTGACTCTGTTTAAATTCCTGGTTCTTGAACCAGAAGATTCCTGATACTATGACCAATATATTTCTATCACAACATCGGGACTATCATGTAGTCTTGAACATGAAAAAAACCTCTCATCATTCCATGTATTCACAGTGCGTGTGTCGGGTCCATCGTTGTAGTGAGAGGAGCTTCAACAGTGACTGTGACTTGTGACCCAGGTGTAGGTTTAAGGGACCCTATCTAACGTTAAACGCTCACCACCGTCCAAGCTCCTCTCTCTCTCTATATATTTATTTCATAATAGCCACAATGTATTAATTACTAGGTATAGAGTTGTTCAAGGATACTTCTTGTATTACACATATCATGTACTAGCTTTTGCCGCGACTTCGTCCGCGTGGAATATGACTTCCGACAGATTTTTGGTTCTTCCCACATAGTTCCCGTTCTTGCGGGATTTTCGGAAAGGTCGAGTTCCCGCAGAATTTTCAGGATAAAACGGTTTTTGTGAGTTAATCTTAAAAGATAGACATATATCGTCGCGGTCTGTTTTTTAGATCATTAAAAGAGCTATGATTCTTTAATACATATTTTTTGTGTATCTTGAACCGTTTTCACGGCGCACGCATCGGAAGGCTTCAAAGATGAAATAATTTCTCCCGTTTTTACACATTTACCACTATATCTTTGCTCCTATTGGTCGTAGCGTAATGTTATATAGCCTACAGCCCTCCTCGATACTCATTTTAGGTTTAAGATTCAACTACCTGACCTGTTGCCTATTTCTTTATCCACATATTTTATAATCAGGTTTTATGATTTTTCTGGATGTCTCTATGTTCTTGGTGACAATGGAACTACCTCCTGAATCAAGGCCATAAAAAATATTAAAAAAAAATTTGCTTATGCAGAAGTTATATTAAAACAAATATTTAATCAAATTTTGAACTTTAAAAAGAATGTTACTTCTTAAACCATTACCTATATGAGAGTGAAATTACCGTCAAAATAGGTTTAACAGTAAGAGAGATTATTCAGAACAAACAGACAGACAAAAAAATAAATATAGTTGCATTTCTATCTACCTAGTTGACTTTATATCGACTTTAATATATTTAGTGAAAAACTGTTTATTTCAAATTACGAAGACATCTCAATTAAAAGCTTATTTTATGCTTTGTCACACTGGAATCGTTTAATATTATGTCAGTGTCAACATTTTTATTTGTTCGACGAATTATAATCTCGAGTACTGTATGCGTGGAAATTAAAAGCTTTAAGTTTGTAGTTAAAGATATACATAATATATGCGTTCAGTTTGAATTCTGAAGTTCGTTATGTTCATCTAATGTTGTATTATTTTTATACATCACTTTGAATTTACTTGCAATACTATCGAATAATTCCTGATAATCGATAGTTTAGAAACATTGACACTATCGATAGTTTTGAAGGTATTACTACCTAATTATATCGATAGTTTTACCATGTGACGATTCTATCGATATTCTACAGTTTTCGAGGTCAACTATCGATGGTTCTACAACACTATTTTCATCGCCTCGCTTTGCCGCTAGATGGCGCTACTAATTTTCTATAATGTATTACCTACCCTTTTTATTATTCCCGGCATTTTAATACAAGTCACCAACTTTTTCAGTGTAAGGCTCATATTGATAGAATCAGGAAGAAATTACTGGGAGTTGAAAATCTTTGGAAGCATGATACAAATTATATTGTGAAGTTAGTTTGAGGTACAGTTTCAATCTTGATTCTTATTGTTCAATGTAACTTCTAGTAATGTCCTACAAAATTTCTGAAGCCAGGAATAATATTTTTCATAATTACATACCCTTTTTCATATTGTAAACTTCTATTCAATTTAAACCAAGTTCATAATGATATCTAAGATTTTTCACTAGTTTTATTTAAATGAAACTAATATTTTTTGGATAAATGCGACTTTATTTTTATAAAAACACATCTCGTCTTTGTGATCACGGTTGCTGAAAAGTAACCGAAACGTCGAGAGTATGTAGTTGTTTACAAAGAGACGAAACCTCTCATCATTCCATGTATTCACGGTGCGTGTGTCGGGTCCATCGTTGTAGAGAGAGGAGCTTCAACAGTGACTGGGACTTGTGACTCAGGTTTATTAGGAAATAAACATTAAAACAATTTTTCGATTCATTTACAATTTATTAAGACATCGCATAAAGTCATACATACATCAATTGGTATGGAAAATCACAATAATTTGCTCAAATTAAATATAAACATTGCACACATCAAGCCACGACAAATTTAACTTTATCTATACGTATAACAAATAAATAAAATTTGGCATTAAATTACTAAAAAACAAATAAATACTAATTTCACTAGTATTGTTACGAAGTGAATTTTCGATAATAACGAAAAAGTTCTAACCTGGTAAAGTTGGCTTCTTGAAGTATATTTAAATAATTAGTTACTTTAACCAAACTACGACTTAAATGCAAACTATAAACTGACAGTACAGAGTTTTTCGTTAATATATCTTCGTATATCAATATATGAAAAACTATAAAATTTAGACAACTTGTGATCAATATAAAATGTTGTACGAGACTTTTGACACACAAAATCTTGTCACAAAACAACTGATCAACCATCTATTTTCAGTCAAAACACATTAATTCACTAAAAAAAATGCAAGAAAACACATAAAACGCATAAAATATTAATAAATTAATGAAAATCGATAATTCACTTCGCAACTGTCAACTATTTGACGTCACTTTGGCGCCATTACATGTCATTGTGATCGGTAACTAAAATTATTAATACCTACTAAAATTTTGTACTTTAAAACAAAAAAAAACAACGATGTAAATAAAAAAATAATCTGTCAATAAATAATATTAAATTTAATTTTTCTCATAAACTTGTATAGAACTGAAACTTCGGACATTATATTAACTTCATAATCTGCAATCAAGGCAAAGGTTTAATTTTATACGGATATAAATTTATATTTATTTATATATAACCAACCTCTTTTCTAATCAATCCGTTTCTTTAACTCCATTATCTGACACTGGTTTCGGTGACACCCTTTTATCTTCCATCTAGGGAATATATTTTTATTGTTTTCGACCAAATTTAGAAATACATATAAATTATTTTTTAAAATATTATATCTATGTTTTTAGATAATTATATAATACTAATAAAGCCTCCAGGATTTCCAAGGACTGAAAAAAAATCTAATATCTATATTTTACTTTCTTTCATGAGATTCGGTCGAGGCGACGATTTTTGACCTTCAGCCAATATATACCAATTACGAACAGACATGAAAAACAAGAATATGTATATATAGATATTAATTTTCTCCTGATGTCATATGTTTCTCCGTGTGAGTTTTCTCCCATTTTCTGTCCTGCTCTTTCTTTTGTTCCTGCAATTTTTTGTTTCATTCACACACCCACGAAAAACCATTTTCTTATCCACAGACTTAAAAATAAAATATTCAATTTTTTTATGCAATTAAAATATGAGTATTTTTTTTCACTCTAGTATAACTCTTTTCATGTATGGAACCACAAATATAGAGAAAAAATATAAAATTCACAAAATATACACACAAACACTGATACTAACAATACTCATTCATACCAGTTCATAAAAATCATTAATTTTATTAACAGTACAAATGTTGTCCATTAATATATTATTAAGCTAAAAGATAGTTTTTAAGAGAAATACTAAAAATATATATGTTTCAAATGTACAACCAGTATGGACACGATAGCTCAGTGGTTACAGAGGCGGCAAGTTTAACAACTGACTCACAAATTGATACATATATATATATATATATATATATATATATATATATATATATATATATATATATATATATATATATATATATATATATATACACAAATATACAGGGTGACTGGTGAATTACTATCAATATTTAAGGAGAATACTCGGTACATGATTCTCATTCGAATTATGTAAAAAAAATAGGCACTTAATTTTTGACAAAATTTCCGTATAAATAAGTAAAGTGTTGACACGTTCCAAGTGTTCAAGTGTGGACGCGTGCTGATACAACTCTACGTCACGACACGCGTATGTGTGAGTGTCAGTGTATACCTAATCTGTAGGGTGTTCACGCGATGCGTAATTAATTACATAACTTTAGGTTAACTTTACTTAGAAGTTTATTAATATTTATGTTATATTAATTTTTATTTTGTCATATATGATCGTCGAATATCACGTCCTCAAATATCGATAGTAATTCACCAGTCACCCTGTATATACAGGGTGACTGGTGAATTACTATCAATATTTAAGGAGCATACTCGGTACATGATTCTCATTCGAATTATGTAAAAAACATAGGTACTTAATTTTTGACCAAATTTCCGTATAAATAAATAAAGTGTGTACACGTTCCAAGTGTTCCAAGTGTGGACGCGTGCGGCGGCGTGCTGATACAACAACACGCCGCCGCGCGCGAGTGTGTGTGTGTGTGTATACCTAATCTGTAGGGTGTTCATACGATGCGTAATTAATTACATAACTTTTGGTTAACTTTACTTAGAAGTTTATCAATATTTATGTTATATTAATTTTTATTTTGTCATATATGATCGTCAAATATCACGTCCTCAAATATCGATGGTAATTCACCAGTCACCCTGTATATATATATATATATATATATATATATATATATATATATATATATATATATATATATATATGTATTTAGTAACAAATTTATATTTCATACCTCAGGCTCTCCCAACAGTGTGTTAGCCAAGTATGGCGCCTTCAAAACACCTCTCCAATACAACTTCTCCAGCGGACGATTAACGCACCAGCCGGCACAACGCACGCCCAGGTCACGCCAGTACGCCACCTCGCTCCTGAACATGGTACGGGGGGGAGTGAGCGAGATAGAAACATTTAGATGTGTTGTGTGTATAAGAGTGAAAGAGATGGGGAGATGAGACTATATATAGTGAGGTAGTGAGCGAGATAGAAATATACATGTGTACAGGAGTGAAAGAGATAGCGAGACGATGTATAGAGGTCACGCCAATACGCCACCTCGCTCCTGAACATGGTACGGGGGAGTGAGCGAGATGGAAACATTTAGATATATTGTGTGTATACAAGTGAAAGAGATGGGAGATGAGACTATATATAGTGAGGTAGTGAGCGAGATAGATATATACATGTGTACAAGAGTGAAAGAGATAGCGAGACGATGTATAGTGAAGAAAGTGAAGATTGTGGTGAGGGGGAGTTTTTGATAATTTATGGTAAAAATAGAAAGAAATAAAAAATGTTGGAGTGAGAGAGAACGAGAAAGATATAATGAATGTTAGAGCGAGAGGTATGATGTTTATTATACAAAGCCTGCATAAGAGTAAAAGAGATAGCCCATATCTAATATATTTGGAAAAATTAGACATAATGTAGATTTGATACAAAATTACTGCTGTTTATATATACAGCATCCATTCATATATATAATCACTAGTTTTTGGATACTAGACTAACAAATTCACATACAAATAAAGTTATATTAACAATATATACATATTATATTATAATAATACTATATGTATATTATAATAATACTCACGCGCTAACTATATCCTTATGCAGCAGTACAGCGCTGACGGCGCACCACCTAGCGCTCCAACGCCATAGTAGAGAGTGGACCCAATCAGCTGTTCTTAGAAGTAAGTGGAGGAGAATACTGTTACCGTGCCTGGAAATATAGAGAAACATATATATATGTCAGTGGTAGTATTTAGACAACACTGATCAATGCTGATTCCCAAAGAGGGTTGATGTCAGGCAGGCGGCCGGTCGTGTAAATTTAATAAATTAATAATGAAATTGGAAAACCTACAATATTTATTCCAAGAATCCCTACTGTAGTGTTTGTATGTATACATATATATAACGCACTGTCTCACGTACCCCACTAGAGGGGCGGCATGCGCTCGGCAGACTCACGACTAGCGTGAAGCAGAACGGGGACCTGCGTGCGCTCTAGGCGGGATAGTAGTGAGACAAGGACTAAGTTATACTTACATATAGGATGAGAAGGTCCTACAACTACTAATATTATAAATGCGAAAGTAACTCTGTCTGTCTGTCTGTTACACTTTCACGCCTAAACCACTAAACTGATTTTAATAAAATTTGGTACAGACATAGAGTAAAACCGAACTCGAACCGAAGCTAGAATTATATATGTATTAGTGCCATTAAATAAGAAAAATTACTATACTTTATATTAATTTACTAATTGGAGACATAGTTATGTGATATTGATGGTTCAGAACCAAATTAATGCTATAATCGATCACCAAAGTAAGTATTGAAAGTATTTGATGAGATGCAAAGTTAACCTTGGATTCGTGGGTCCATTCTCTGCATCATAATCTTGGGCGCTGAAGCAGTACGGCCTGTAGCTGATTGCACCGATGATCCTTGGATCCTTCTTGCGTATCTGAAAAATATATATATATAATATGGTTCATCCCCAAAGACAATGCCATCAAGGTCAACTTATTATGAGCTCAATAGGAATAGGTTCATTGTAAATTTGTATGTAGATGTGGGAGCGAGAGGTATAACATACTTCTTCTACTTCTACCGGGCAATTTCCCAGCTTTAGCCAGAGTCTGCCTTACATGTTTTGAATAGTTTTGGCTAACTGTTTTTACGACTGGCCGCCTGCCTGACATCAACCCTCTTTGGTTAATCAGTGATGTCTAGATACTCTTAGATAGTACATATGACTCGGAAAAACCACATTGGTACTTGCCAGGGCATGGATCGAACCCGCGCCCTCATGCATGAGAGGCGGGCCTTTAACCACTAGGCCACCACTGACTACAACGGACTGACTTTAACGAGAGGTATAAAACATATTCTCTATATAACCTACCACTATAAAACTTAGCATCAGTTCATTCTTAGAATGTTCTTTAAAGGCAACTTTAGTAGGTTCTTTTCAAATTTGGTAGAGAGAGGAGCTTGGACAGTAGAGGTGAGCGTTTAACGCGTTAGATAGGGTCCCTTAAATCTACACCTGGTCACAAGTCGCAGTCACTGTTGAAGCTCCTCTCACTACAACGATGGACCCGACACACGCATAGTGAATACATTGAATGATGAGAGGTTTCGTCTTTTCGTTGTGCTAGCAATATTTCCACAGACACATGTCTACAGGCATAATGAAATACATGACTTTTGATCAGATATTACTTGTAATAGTAAACTCTTAAGCTATGTTAATTCAACACTAATATTGAAATTTATAACATAGTTTAGGAAAACATATAGATGGCGCCACCCTTTCATTGATGAGTATTTAAAATAATAATTTTCAAAGACAGTCATGACACAATAGCTCAGTTAGTAAAGTGACTAGAATTTATATTTGAAGTTCAAAGTTCAAATTGAGCTTGTACAAAAGTATTTATCATATAAATGTTGTAATATAATATAAATAGATTTTTATTCGTACTAACTATTATTCTAATTAAGGTAGTAATAAATGAATAAATGGATAATCATACCTTATACAGAACGAACGGATTGAATGTTGTGACAACAGCCGATTTGTAAAGATCTGGATGTACTGCAAAGATGTCTAGTATACCATTGATGACCTGGAATAAGAAAATTACTATGTTAGACTAGAATTTTGCCCGCGACTTCGTCCGCGTTAGTTTTTTCATTAGTAATATATGTATAGCTGACTGGGCGAACTGTATTTCGTTTTAGAGGCCATTAATAATCAGGTTTCTCCAGTTTCAATCGAACAGAATGATTGACATATTAGTTAGTTGTCAAATCTAATGTCAAAGAAAACGTTTGTATGGGAAATAGAAAAGGGCTGTTTTTAGGGTTACATTATATGTAAAAATTTTAAAAAATGCTGAGGTCATGCCAGTTTCTAAACAGTCAGTGTGAACTTACTTAACGCAAGAAGTAGATATTGTATTCTCTTTAGTAGTAGTATATACTATCAATAATTACTTGGTTCAGATATAATACTAGTTTTATTTTCCTCATTACTCGAAATGAAAAGTAGAGTGTTTACCTCGTGTAAAAGAATCAATTCCAACTCAGACCATAGCCTAACTACCTTGGGAATTGATCTTTCCACCCTAAGTGAGCAATCTACTATATTCTCTATAATACTTACAATAAATTTCAGCAATACTTTTTAAATCCATTTACAAAACAATGAACGAAAGTAGCTCCCGGCGTTTTTTAAAACGCCCATAATATTTCAAATTCCATATACATTACAGCGTAAACAGACGGTAAAAAAACGCTAGAAAATAAACGCCCAAATTAAAAGCTCAAACCTCTCTATCATTTCCTTTAACATCAATGATCATCTTCACATTCTTGGACATGAGGTACCCGATGGCATCTTCAAGAAGACATAGATATACTTCCTTAAATTGGTCCCTGGAAATAGATTATATAAAGTCAGTAGTGGCCTAGTGGTTATAAGGCCCACCTCTCATGCACGAGGGCGCGGGTTCGATCCTGGCAAGTACCAATGTGATTTTTCCATGTCATATGTACTTTATAAGAGTATTTAGACATCACTGACAGACGGTGAAGGAAAAATATAGAGAAGGTAATGCAAACCTTCTCCATGTCAGAAAGAGGTCTCTGCTCAGCAGTGGGCTCTGATAGGCTGATGACAATATGAAACTAGTTATCGCTGTCAACTTTGTCTGCCTTAGTTTAGAATAAGAAATGTATAGCTGATCTTGTCAACTCTGTTCCTCTTTAAAGGCAGTAAATAAAAATTGGGATTTATTAATTTATTTTCTTTTTTAGTCAGATGTAAAGTATCCTATGTCCTTTCTATGTTCTAATCTATCTCAACAGTCAACACCAATCTTCATCCAAATCCGTACAGCCGTTCTTGAGTTATAAATAGTGTAACTAACACAACTTTCTTTTATATATAAAGATTAAGTCTTTGTAAACAAATCTATTACAGTAAATGTCGAAGTTCGAGCTTTATATCTGAACATCATAAATATACATTCCGATTTAAACATAATGAAATTTTAATCACAAACACATCCAAATTACAATTTATTAAAAACGCAATTCAATTACACTGATTATACTTAACTATATTCAAAATTGCATAATATCAAACATGCAATATCACTTATTACTACAATTTGTATGCATAACTGAATTGCATTAAATTAAAGTTGCAATTATACCTATTGGGATGATTGGTGCCGATGTCAATCTTCTTGATTTTCTCCCAATCCATGATCCGTACATCGGATATGCTTGTGCCGGTAAGTCGTTCCAATCCTTGGTCATGTAATAACACCAATTGACCATCTCTTGAAGTTCGGACATCCAATTCCACGAATGTACAATCCCTTTCCACACACTAAAAGAATATATATCAGTTAATGACATACTATTTACTAAATAACAGCAAAATAACTATGATTATGTACAATAAAATATTAAATACACAAGTAATAACTTGATTGTTTTATATAAGTCAGAATTCTAACATAAAAATCACCACATTTATAATGAACCATTCTTAACTTTTTTATTATATAATAATATGTAATTTAACGACTTCTAAGATAGGTTATCACATAAAATTAATAAGAAAATGTATAACGATTGTTTTATGTAACTCGGAATTTAATAAAAAATATCACCATTTAATTAAAATGAATCGTTCTGAACTTTTATATGTTATAATTATATTTAATTTAACGTATTGTGGGATATATTGGGACTTTTAAAGTATACTCACATATTTAAAAGCCTGTAATGTATTTTCCGGAGCGTCTAACCCAGCGCCTCTATGGGCGATGCATTTTACCACTTTTTCTGGATACAACGCACCTTCTTTGGAACTCGGCTCAGGTCCGAACACTTCCTCGATAGCTGCCTGATGCGGTCTCTTTAATCTCGTAATATAATACGCTGCTACACCCAAAATTCCGACATCGATCCCAAAAGGCAGTACTGTGTTTTGCAAAGTCGAATTTAATGTGAATGACAGTACTATAGCGTGGTATATGCATTTGAATGTTAATTTTATTATCGCTATGAACATTATTTCGATCGTTCGTTGTTTATTTTTAATCTAATCTAGCTTATATGTTATGGTTTTCGTAAAAAAAAACATTTGTACTGCGAGGGCGGGGCTTAATGACTTTGACGTTAGATTTTCCGATTTCCATTACTCTAACTTCCTGTTAATAAAGTTTTTAACTCACTTCTCGTTATCATGACGTTAAATGTAGCAAAACACTAAGATCACTGAATTTATAGTAAAATACACTGGTTTTTATAAACAACTTTTCAATTATCTTGTTTCTTAAAATATATATTTAGTCACTAAAATGAAATTCAAAATTAAAACCTCAATTCAAACTTTCAAAGCATGAAATAGCACGATGTTGATAATAACAATGTTGCCATTTGAATAAATATTGTATTATAACTTGAAAGTTTTATTACTCTATCTACTTATAACTTATAAGTTTATATACTAGTAGGTTCCAAAGCTAAATGAAAACAAATATCTTCAATATACATTTATTTAACCACAAAAAACTAATATAAATGAATTACAAACTCAATCTACACTGAAATCTACCGACGACAATTTTTTTTATGCATAAAGTTAATATTATTCAGCCGATCTTCTATTCCACCATTCTACCATGAATGATACAAAATACCTAATGATGAAAAGAAAAGTCTCAACCACAGTCAGCACGCTAGTACCCACGAAAAGGCTGGTGGTCCCGCCAAGAGACGCTATTTAATAAATAAAAAACAAACACTACAATTAGTTACAGATAAAAATAATGATTTCTAAGATACTCATTAGCAATACATATTTAAATTAAACTATAATATACTATTATTAATATTTTATAATTTTAAGCATAGATCACTGGAAGTCACAATAAATGTTTGACAATTTACTAATAAAAAACTATGTACACTTTTTTAAACTGTAAATTAAAGTGCATAGCATCAAATTAAAATGCAATGAAATTTAAATATATTAAATTATTAACATCTAATAACTTAAAAAATTAAAAATTAGAAATTTTATTATAGTCAAATATATTAAAAAATATTTTTTTTTTTCGTAACAAATAGATAATATTTAATATTATACACGTACAGAATAAATCGTCAAGGCTGAATATAATATCCCGATGCAATCTAAACTTTGGCGGGATCAGCGCGAATTTGACGACCGCCCCCGCAGGCTCCGAAGTGTCATTCATGTTGACAGATGACAGGAAGATTAGATAAAAAAAAATTAAGGCAAAAATTTGATATATACAGTATAATTTTTAAATAAGCCCTCGATTTAGTACCCAAAAACACTTTAATTTGATATTAATACTTTTATGAAATACTAAGTTTCGGTTATTTAATTCTAAGGCTATTTTTGTCATAATTATGTAGGTACTAACCGAATAAGGACCTTTTTTGTATGTGAGTAATAATTGATTTCTGTGCACTGGGGCATGCAAGGGCATTTCGCGAGGTTCTTTGGCAGGTTGACGAGTATTTCGACATTCCTTCCAATACACGCCATCCCGTGCGCGTCACACACGTCGCCATCTTGCAAAATATACAGTAAAGGATATATTTTTTTGAATATTTAAACTACATTAGGAAATATCGCCATCGTTTTGATGGACTGTCAAATGTGACAAATTGGAACTGCAAGTACGTGCCAGTGCTTCCATAAGGTTGTATATGTTTATGAAAAGAGGTTTTAATATGAAAAGAAAATAGTTTTATTAGTATATTTGAGTTACTCGCCTCCTTTTACGTGGAAGTATGGTCGACAACCACAGAACATTACCGCCATTCTGCTGCGACAGTGCATTTGACACAATCCAAAGCTATAAGCCTATATAAATATCAAATAAATAAATAAAATTGTACAAATTGTCCAAAAATTGTATATATAACATTTAGAATATAATTATAATTAAAATAATTTATTAAAAGATCTTATGTATTCATAACTAGAGAAGAATCAAAGAATATATTTATTATTAAATTATAATAGAGAAAAAAGTTTTGCCATAGTTTTGTTATTTTAATTTTATTTGTTTTAATGTAAAAGTCAAGAATATTTATTATAGCAACCCTAACTGTCATAAACGAAATTAAGCTCAAGAGGACTTGTATCCAGAGCCATAAAAATAGTTTAAAAAAAGGAATTAAAACTTCACGGACGTAAAAAATATGAATTAAGTTTATGATATATTTATACCTTAATGGAATTAGCGACCCATTCGTCTGGATATCTGCATCTTCTTTGTTCTGGTCTCAAACCTTTAATTCTCTCAGCTGCCTGAATTTCTACAACCTTTATACAAAACGAAAAAAATATATATGAAAAAAAAAACGTCATGATAATATCAACCAATGAAATCGCTTAATTTTTTAGTAACGAAATTACAACCAATGAAATCGTTTCATTTTTTTAATGTCTAATGACATTTGACGTATTGACAGTAAATACAATATATTCAGTATAAATAAACAAATTGCTTAATTAATTGAATATTATTTTAATCTGTTATAACATTTTAATTATTTATTAATATACTTTGAGTTTCTTAAACGCAGTATTCAAGATAATACGTCCAACAAATAAAAATGTTGACATTGGCATAATAATCCACGATTACAGTGTGAATGAAGCCATAGCTTAAAAAAATTGATGCAATTTAATTATCAGAAAAAAAATAGTTTTATTGTCTAAATTATAGTTTCTTATTTAAACTACGTATATAAAAAAATCATTATTATATTTGTTTGTTGATTGTAAAACAGATGTTAAATAGTAAAGTTTTCCCTTTTATTATTATAATTAACTAAATTATATAGTTATTTTTATTCTTTATAGGTAATCTGAATTATTTTTATTTACCTTAAAATCCGTAGCTAATTCATCTCCGGGCAATATTTCGCCCGTTGGATTAGATATGGCGGTTGCAATGTCGAAAGGAGAATGAATAAAATACTGTAATACATAAATATTTAAATAAAAGTAATATTTGTATGAAAATTCACCAATTTTTGTGAACACGGTTACTGCAAAAACAAAATGGCGGGAGTGTTTAGTTAAAATAGACTCGTAGTAATCCGAAAATATTAGTTTCATTTAAATGAATGAAAGTCATAATTTTCATTATAAATCTATTTATTTTTAATTAGTATTTGGCGGGAACTTTGTCCGTTTTATATTTGTACATATTAAAAAATATATGAACATCGCCGGGCTACATCGTTGTATGTATAATATACAGGGTGACTGGTGAATTACTATCGATATTTGAGGACGTGGTAGTTGACGATCATATATGACAAAATAAAAATTAATATAACATAAATATTAATAAACTTCTAAGTAAAGTTAACCAAAAGTTATGTAATTAATTACGCATCGTGTGAACACCCTACAGATTAGGTATACACACACACTCACACATACGCAGCGGGGGCGTGGTTTTGTATCAGCACGCCGCCGTACGCGTCCACACTAGGAACACTTGGAACGTGTCAACACTTTATTTATTTATACGGAAATTTTGTCAAAAATTAAGTACCTATTTTTTTTTACATAATTCAAATGAGAATCATGTACCGAGTATTCTCCTTAAATATTGATAGTAATTCACCAGTCACCCTGTATAACTCTTGACGCCGCTGACTCCGCGGAACGAACACCAAGCGTGTGAACCAGAAGATTCCTGATACACACAAGCTATGGAATGGTATTGATATACTAACATCGGGTCAATCATGTAGTCTTAGGTGTAGGTTATAAGTTTTATATAAAGAAAGTCGTGTTAGTTACACTATTTATAACTCAAGAACGACTGTATGAGTTTAGCTGAAAATTGGTGGAGAGATAGATTAGAACCAGGAGACGGACATAGGATATTTAATTCTGTTCGTTCGAAAAAGGAAAAAAAACTTAATAAACTCCAATACCTGGTTATTTACGGTCTCTAGATCAGAATGAAGTTCGCCCGGTCAGCTATACATATATTACTAATGACGAAATTAAGCGGAAAAAGTCGATAAAAACTGGTAATATATATAAGTAAATTTCGTAGTTTTCCTTGAACCATTGGTGGTTGTGAAAAATAGGTAAATTTCCGCATAAACATATGCCTAAGTCAGTGGTAGCCTAGTGGTTAAAAGGCCCGCCTCTGATTCATGAAGGCGCGGGTTCGATCCTGGCAAGTACCAATGTGATTTTTCCGAGTCATATGTACTTTTAAGAGTAATTAGACATCACTGATTAATGCATTCCAAAGAGGGTTGATGTCAGGCAGCAGCCGGTCGTAAAAACAATTAGCCAACACTACTCACAACATGTAAGGCAGACCCTGGCTAAAGCTAGAAAATTGCCAGGCAGAAGACGAAGAACATAGAGAGATTTAAATATATTACTTACTTACCCTGGCACTACTTTCTACACTATCAATCCTTACAAAGCAAGCTTCGCTGTGGTAATGGCACTTCAACAGAGGTTGCGGTTTCCATAAATCATCATTCACTATCTGATACTGAGCGTAAACCGAATTAAATGTGGTGCAAAGACCTTCTTCAGTCATCACTTGCATCCATTGGACCTGATAAATTACATTACTAATAAATTAAACTAATATTTTTGGGTACACTACGTCGTAGTAGGTGTGAACCAAATTTGGTAGAGAGAGAAACTTGGACGGTGGAGGTGAGCGTTTAACGTTAGATAGGCACCCTTAAACCTACACCTGGGTCACAAGTCACAGTCACTGTTGAAGCTCCTCTCTACAACGATGGACCCGACACACGCATATGAATACATGGAATGATGAGAAGTTTCGTCTCTTTGTAAACAACTACATACTCAGGATATTTCGGTTACTTTTCAGCAACCGTGATCACGAATTAAAATTTAAAAGTAACTGAAACGTCGGGAGTATGTAGTTCTTTAGCAAATTAAGCACGCGGAGTACATCCGTAAAATATTAATTTCATTTAAATGAATACTCGTGAAAGTCTTAGATCTCATGATTAATCTAATTATTTACCAACTAGCTTTTGCCGCGACTTCGTCCGCATGGAATAGTGACTTTCGGCAGATTCCCGTTCTTGCGGGGTTTTCGGAATGGTCGAGTTCCCGTAGAATTTTCAAGATAAAACCTATGTTTTTTTTTAAATTCACAATGAAGTGGTCTTAACCGACAACATATTTATTTGTTTATTTGAATAAAGATTAATATTATTATGTTGATACAACTTAAACAAATTATTTCGACCAAATTAGGTACCATAAAAACTCTTTTTGTGAGTTAATCTTAAAAGATAGACATATACTGTCGCGGACTGTTTTTTAGATCATTAAAAGAGCTATTATTCTTTAATAAATATTTCTTGTGTATCTTGAACCGTTTTCACGGCGCACGCAACGGAAGGCTTCAAAGATGAAATAATTTCTGACGTTTTTTACACATTTACCACTATATCTTTGCTCCTATTGGTCGTAGCGTGATGTTATATAGCCTACAGCTTTCCTCGATAACTGGACTATCCAACACAAAAAGAATTATTCAATTCGAACCAGTAGTTTCGGAGATTAGCACTTTCAAACAAACAAACAAACAAACTCTTCAGCTTTATAATATTAGTATAGATAGTGGTGTACTAATAGTGAACATATTAAAAAATATATCAGTACTTGTTTTGCTTGACCATTGCTATTAGTATTTAGCAGTATTAGCTTTGAAATCTTTGCTGAAGAAGGTTTTGGTCTTAAGATACTTACCCAATATAGAGATAATTTGGATTTCTTAGTATAAGCATTTAAAAATTTCGTTTCGCGTCTTCGTATTTTCTATTTATCAACGATAAAAAAGCAGTTGAGACTCTTAACATAAATAAGACACTGCTCATTGAAATAAAAGTTAAATTTATCATCACCAAAAACTAGTTTAATAATCCTACTAATATTATAATTTCGAAAGTTTGTGAGTGTGTGTGTGTATGTTTGTTGCTTCTTCACGCTCAAACGGCTGAACCGATTTGAATAAAATTTCGTATACAGGAAGCTGACGTCCAGGAATAACACATAGGCTACTTTTCATTCCGGAAATCCGCGGGTAACACCGCGAAGCGCAGCTAGTAATTATTATAATTTCAAAATACCTCCATTTTCTGCGAAGTTGTAATCTTCAGCTGGAAATCTGGATGCACGTCCAGGGCCAGCTGTAGCAAATCTATATCTTTGACAGTATCATCGTTCTGGTACTTCCAGAAGTTCTGCAAATTATTCCTGAAGGATATTTCGGCTATGAGGTCAACGAACTCGTAGTAATATTGGTACCTGTCTGAATCCGATTCTTCTGTTACATTCCAAATCCTATAAAAATACTACCACATATTAATAAAGACTTCTATTCATTACTCTATTTAATTCTCAAAATACAAATAATAATATTCTGAATAATTAGTTTTTTAATGTATAAATACAATTTGTAATAAGAGGTTTAAGGATACAAAAAAATTAAAGGGTAATGAATTAGTTTTGTGTGGCAGTCCAAAAATAAACTACATAAATTCAGAGTCTTTAAATAGATTATTTTAAAATTAAGCTAATGTATAATAGTACAAATTTAAAAAAGAAAAAGCTTGTAGAATACACGCGTATCCTATTTACGTAGTAACTAATACAAAAAAAGGATAAAGTCCTACTAGAACTAGAAGTCAAAGATCTGTCATTAGGTGCTATCTTTAAAGTGCGTCATACGAATTTTAGAACTTACGACCCCCTTATCAAGTTTTTATAACTCAACTCCTGATGTGTTCCATAACTCATATTTACAACTTCAAAAAAAAAAAAATTGAAATATCAACACACGTCCAAATTTTTCGTCTTATTATTTTAAATTTTATTGTGACGTCATACAAAAATCTTCCTCTATTCCCTCGTCACACGATCTCATACTTCAGTGATGCCTTACCTTCCATTAAGGTCTGACGTATTTTATGCATGGCAATTCACCTATATTTATACATTTACGTCGGCTCAGACTGTTAGTTTCAAGTTAGTATAAGGGTCATCAATCATCCTCATCATCACCCTTTGCACTTGGGAGCTGGAGGACCGCTGTATCAAATCGCAAAAGCCCTCCAGCCCCTCGAGCTCTTCATCGTTTCATCACAAAGTTTTAAGTCTTTTAAACATCTATTACTTTTACAAACATATGTTAACGTGTCTATTTTTTATATCTCTTGTGTCTTTTACCCTGTGTACATTTATTTATACCTTACCCTTAAGCAATAAATTTAGATTAAAAAAAACTCACCTATATATAACCTCCTTCGCTTTATCCTCATCAATTCTCTCCAAGAGACACGCGGTGATAGCAGGGAAGTCTGTAGACCAGCCTCTGAAGTCCCTCTCTATGGAGACTACCACTGGTTCTGAGTTATACCTCGCGAGTTGGCTAACACCACAGTAAACGGCACCAGCAAACGCGAACACAGTTAGAATAAACCAAAGCAACCTGGAAGAATTAATTTGATTGGTCAGAGAAATGGTCAGCTAGGATCTAGCCAATAGCCCATATTTGGGGAAAAATGGAATTAATTTGATTGGTCAGAAAAATGTATAGGATTTTCTATGATAGTCCATGTTTGGGGAAATGTAAAGAGTTTGATTCTGCCATCTACATTTTAGCCAATAGCCCATGTTTGGGGAAAAAAAGAATTAATTTGATCGGTCAGGAAAATGTATAGGATTTTCAAAGATAGCCCATGTTTGGGGGAAATCTAAAGAACTTGATATTTTCCGTGAAAGTTCTTATAGGAATTTAGTAAAAGATATATTATTGAGGATTTCAGGGAGGGACTATGAAATAATAAAGACGTATATATTTTTAATATTATTATTGATAATTATAAGGCTTAAAATAACAGGTTTACAATCCAAAGACTCATTTTTTTTGTTATCTTTTCCAAGATAATTGTCCAGAAAACTTTGTTAGTACAATCTGTATTCTATTTATTTATATAATCAATTTAAGCCTTTGTTATTCGATTTTATGGGATCATATATATAAACTATACATATTTTTATGAGAAACTGTATATAAAAAATAATACAACCGGTCTTCAAATTATGTGATGTGATATCTAGACCCCAACATAAACAGCGTCAACAGTTTTTCATTCATAAATCTTCACATATTATAGTAATCAGGTATTGTTACTAATTTAGATATATCTAAAATCTAAACTATTAAAAAATCTTAAAATATTCCCACAGATTATATAACAGTTCACCAAAATATCAATAAAACCTTTTCGTTGTGTGTCACAGAAAAAAAAGCAATCAAAATTATAACATAATTCAGAAAAGGAATCCATTTATGTCATTTGAGTAGCAAAATTTTAGCAATGTGAATTGTATTACAACTAAAATTACCTTTCTAAGAAGTGTAGATCGCCAGCCACGGTGTGTTTGAGGCCATGTAGCGTGGTTTCCTTACAGAAGTTGGTGTACAATTGGTGTAACTTCGCCATGGATGAGGTTATAGACACCTTTGTAGAATTCGTGCGCGTGAGGCAGCTGAATATAGCGGTAAAACGACTTTTAGACATTATTGTAGCTTATAAACAACAACCAAGCTTAGATTATTCGAAACCACAGCTGTTTTTAATATTATCGAGCTCAAAATTAATATTTTTTTCAATATATCATCTGTATTAGGTTCGTCATAGAATGTATAATGTAATTTAATGGAAAGTAACTCTGTTTAAATATGTTTTACCATGTGGATATTAATTCTGTAATTATTATAACTAAAACTGTAATGGCTATGATAAAACATTTATTTCTAATGTAAGCGAACCCATTAAATTAGGAATGAGTTAATGTTATCGTGCTGCCATCTAATTGACGTTTTTGTAGTTAATGGACTGAAAGTATAATTGTAAATTGGATAATGGCTTACTTTTTGTTTGACGAACATTAGTTAAAAATGCTTTCACAGTTTTCATCATCACTATTTCTATTCAAATATAAAACAAGCTTCTACCACCGACGTCACTCGTATTTTGTTTTATTATTAGATAAAATTTTATAACACATTATTTTCATTTTATCAACCAAATTTGGTAAGCGTCTCTTTTATTAAAGGAAACTGATTTATATAAATATAAATGATACATGCATTAGAAATCTAGAACACAAGTAAAGGTTATCACCATAATATTGTTTTTATGGAAGTTTCTAGAAAATATGATTTTTTCAAGTAGTTCGTGTGTTTTCCACCAGGTGGCTGCACTCATCACACTATTCTACCTGATGTACCAGTACCGAGGATACTTCTTCAAGACCCTGGGTGACGATGACCTGGACCACCACGGCTGCAGGTTGTCGAGATCGCGATCTCGGTAGATATCATAAAATTGTTTTAAATAATAGATATTTGGCAATAGAAATTATTATATGTACCTACTAATTATACCAGTATGAAATATTATAATTTGTATACGTATATAATGAACTAAAATATTTTTTGCCGTTGTTCTTTATGAATTCTTATACTATTGTATCAGATATAAATATTGAAAAGTGTTTTTACTAAAACATAAATCATATTTTTAATAGATTGTTAAAAGCGCCATCTCTGGAGGAGTGACTGAACTACGTTGTGATTTTTTTTTTCAGATCACTTCATAGATCTCGTTCGAGGTCTAGGACCAAAGGTAACTACCACGAATACAAAATAGGCGACAGCAAACACCGCAGAGGAAGAAAGCCGACTCGCCGCTGCCCAGACTGTAGCTTGTGTAATTCTGAATAGTAATTTGTATAAAACTAAGAGTATTAATAAGCATAATAATATTTTTTTATTTCACAAAAATTATATATAACACGGATTCCAGGATTTTTGCCCATAAAAATAACTTGCATTGTGCCTTTCAAATAAAATTTTATTACAAATAAAAATAATTGGTTTTATTATTATTTATTAGTATTATTTGGTTGTGATTAAAAATATATTACTTATAATCTATAAGACTGAATTCCTTGCTTTCATCTGATTCGTCCATGTTATTAGTATTGCTTGTAGCTGTATCTGGAATGATGTATTCAGGTGGACAGCATACGTTTTCTATTGAACATGGTCTGAAACAAAAAAAAATAATCAAAAAACATTTCTAAATACATTTTAAAGCGTCACAAGTAATTTACATCAGTGTCCAATGTTTATTTTGAAAGTTTTTCAATATAAAAATTTGATAAACATATTAAAAAACATTCTTTATAAGTTTCAAATGTGGTAATCTATTCTTTTGTATATGTATGGAGAGTTGCACTTCAACACATAAAATTATGTCTATATCATATACATTGATGAATATTACTCGTAATCTTGATTATTTTCTTATTTACAATATGACGACTTATTTAAAAGCATATTTTAATTATGACCTGGAATTCAAATATTTATAAAAATATGGCAATCTATTCGCGTCGCAGTCTATAAGTTTTAACTTCAAATGTCAGAAAGGCGATGTCGATGTCAGTATTTGTATTTGGTGTATAGTTTTTGATTGTATTTTCAAACTTATGAAAATTTATTTTGAGTCAACATTGGCAGAATATTCAACGTATTCAGTGTGGACGAAGCTAAAGCATAAATAATAAAAAAAAGTTGATTGGAATTAGTAAAAAATATATTGACCCTTACTAAATAACAATTCATTTGTTTATAAGTTTGATGTAAGGTGAAAGCGTTCTTTTAAGTCTATTTTTAATAACCATGGGAGATTCCGCTGATGTGGTCACTATTAACTCTGATGAAGAGCAGCGTATGGAAATCGAAGGTATATACACTTAGTTAAAACCAGAACATTGTTTATTTTTCCGAGATATTAACTTGTCTTGAAATAAATTAAATAGCATATTTTATCGCTAAACATTGTGTTCTTTTACCTGGCAATTTCCCTGCTTTAGCCAGGGTCTGCCTTACATGTTGTGAATAGTTTTGCCTACTTGTTTTTACGACCGGCCGTTTGTCTGACATCAACCTTCTTTGGGAATGCATTAATCAGTGATGTCTAAACATAGTATATTTCATTAATTAATCGTAAATGATTAATATGTTCTCGTATATTTTCAGATAAACCGATTATCCAGTTGTTCAAACATCTAACCCAAGAAAGCAATCAGAAGACAGTGTTAACAAATGCTCAAATAATAGACATATTGAAGGAAGAATTTGACATAGACATATGGAATATACACGAATTAGAAGGAGACATATTTATCACCATTTTGAAAATGTATCTCAAAGATTGGCCGTTGTGGGAGGAGTTTGATAAGCTAATCAACAATTTGAAACACAAAAACGATACCGAGGCAATGAATAAAGTTTTGCAGACCAATTATAAGAAGCTTAAAGAGCATTTGACGACGGTTTTAAACAATGCTAAGGACGAAGCTAAAGAAGCTGTTAAGAAAGTTCAACAGGAAATGTCGGAAAGGAGTGATAAAATCAAATCAAACGTCATACTAGACGTCACCGCTACTAGATCTCAGCTGAACAAATTATTCTACCGACGACCATTACCCAAACACAACAACACAATCTTCAATTTAACAAAACATACGATCCCAACACAAATCATGGTCAATGAAGTCCCGTTAGACGCTATACTAAATTGGTGGGGCATAAACATATTCCTAAAAGTATCAGCATTGAAAATTAATATATATGAAAGACATAACATTCACGAATTAAAACATTTGCTCGTTAACAGAAATCTATCTATACCAAACCCTTGTACCGAGCTCGATCAGCAATTAAAAGTTAGAGTAATAGATTCAACAACCAGAAATATATCCGAGATCATAAAAACATACAGCGATTTATCCGACAACGATAACAAAGAAGTTTACAACTTTATACAACGAGATCTGAAACTATTACCGAGCATGGTATTCAACCGAGCATTGTTCAAACGATACACAAACAAGTATCCCTATGTAAGATATTTGTTCGAGGAAACCAAGTCCGCTGACATTAACTCAAGAAAATACGACATTCAGTTGCAAGAGACAATATCACCAAAATACCAAATATATATCAGGTCAATGACCTCAACACCAACTAATTTGGTCGTGGAATGTGAGCCGTGCAATGTGAAATTCCTCGGACCAAACCTATTACCAGAATTGAGGGCACATTTCAACGAATTCCATCGGTCGGAACCGGATTGCACTTGCACCAAATGCAATAAAACCTTCTCAATGGTAGCTCTGGCTAAGAATTGGTGGTGTCATAGATGTTGAATAAATATTTAAGAATGTTTTATGGGTTTAATTTCTCCTATATATATAATATAATTAATTACTTAGTGCTTAAAATACGGTATTCTGTCCTTTTATAAATATCTCTCACTCTATCATTCTATTAAGAATTAAATACGATTTTATTCGCTCATTTTATATATATTATAATTTATAACACCTAATATTCTCTTAAAAACGATATTTCTTTACATAATGCACAAATGAATAAAAAAAGGTGCAACATTTGCTACAGCGACATCTATTGACGAGTTTAAAAATGTGAGAAATAAATAATTTCTCGTGAAACTATACACAAACACTTATATAATATAAATAAAAATATAACTGGAGCATTCTTTTAAAAAATGAAAATCGCCTTTACTCCATTCTACAATCTCCTTCGTGTTTCCACACAGTACTCAATATTATAATTTCTCCAACAAATAAATACGTTGTCTTTGGCAAAATATTACACGATTCCAGTGTGAATTAAGACATAAACATTATTGTGAGTACATTTTTAATTGTTATAACTCAAACTATTAGTTATTATACTATTAAAATTAATATGGAATGCAAAAAGCTACGCACAATGTGAAAATAGTAGTCTGAAAAAATATTTCGTAGTTCAAAAAACATTATATGCATAATATAATGATTTTAATTTCTCAAACTAAGTTAACACGATAAATCGGGTTTTATAAATGCTAAATATATTTAAAAATTACATTAAATACTTAATAAGACTAAATAATAACGTCTAAGAAATTTAATACAAAAATAGTCACTTTTATTTTATATCTCCACCATTTAAATCAGTAATAAAAAAAAACAAACTAATTCATAGAATCTATCATTAATAAAAAAATTATCAAATTCATTAATATATCTATCCAAATTAATAATTTCTTAAATAGTAATATGTACATGAACAAATCAAATTAGTTCCACCATTCGTCAACAGATGTCGCTATGATACTTCTGAATCACGCGTGCGAAATGTTTTCCGTCGAAGCATAAAAGGAAAGCTCCATTCTTCACACGACAAATCCGTTCAGTAGTTTTTAAGAATTTTTTGAAATGCTATTTGTTCGAAATGAACAAAGGCATGTATAATCACATATATGTTAGTTATAACATATAATTAAATAATTAATTAATTCCAATTATTAATTAATAACTTAATTACCATTATTTTATCAAAGTTCGTTATCATTAATTAATATAATTATTTAAGATTAATTAATTAATTAATTATATAAATATTAATCTGTGTATGTCGTATATATTTTTGTATGGATCGCTACTTTAAGATTTAGCTTGAGTTTACTTTGGTTTAATATAATAAAGACGTGAAATGTGTAGAATATAATATATTTGTATCGCAGTTCCGTCTTTACTAAACTTTAAATACTTTCTTAATACATTTGCGCGTATGTTAATAAAGAAAAATAATAATTGATACATTCAAAATGGTTAATTTTTTTATCTATAGGCGATGTAGCCATAAGCTTTTCGTATAAGATAAAATAATAATTATTAATAAGAAAACAATTGTCAAATACACGTAAATTATAAGATAAAGGTAATTTTTTTACATATAATGAAATAAAAATAACATATTATTATTAATACTTTACCTGACAAATCCTTTTGTTGAATAAAGAGTCAAATCTATATTCGTTGTTCCATAATCACAGCGCCCTCTCTTGACACAAAAACCAGACAGCTTCTTCGCTGAAACGCACGCTACTGGGGATGGCGTCCCTAAAATGTACATCAGAAAATAATTATAATTATCATAAATAATGTATTATGTGAGATTATTTTTTAGTAATTTAATATTTACCATACTGTTCTGTCGTGGATTCATGACCGGTAGCGTTTATTGCGTTTCCACAAGCTATTATTAAGCTTGTGAGAAAACTGCAAAAGAGGTTAAATTTAAAGAGGTTATATATATTATTTTATTAATTTCCCCATAATATAACATTATTTTATCATATATTTAATTAATTTTGTCATATTATATACAAACAACTGTTAAAATATATACATTTATAATATATACTTGCTAATTTAATATGCTAGTTTGACCTTTCCTCATTTGACATCTGATAAACAAATAGTACGTACATATATAGATACAAGAGCGTCTATTTATGGCGTTCCGTGTTTTAGAATAGATGTTTTAAATAATAATAATTTGTTTCAGTAATATTAAAATATAATAAAAATACTGTAATTTTGTAAATAATATTAGTAATAAAATTCAAAAATGTAGCAATATTTAAACGAGGTAATCTTGTTAAGACATTTGTCATACTGAAATGTTTGTTTTTTACTTCAATGGTATAAATTTGAATTATCTAAACACAACGATATAATATATTTTAAAAGGCTATACAATTAATTAGTAACAAGAATTAATTACGCCATTGTATACTTTATCCGTGAAAATCGATAGCAATTTATATAAATTCACTCACAAAACTATTCATTATTTATTTCATTGAACTTAACAGTATTTATAACTAAAAGATATTATAAAAAACACATGCTTAATGTACAAAAACAAATACCTTTTCTGTATGTTATAATTAATATAATTAAATTTCTCCAAAAATATATCTAATCTTCTCGAATAAACTAATTGAATCGCTTAATACAAGTGTAATCTCACCAAATACTCACAGTACCGCTGTTTTTCATTTATTTATATACATATATGTATAAAGATATTACCAAATAAAGTTGTATATTTCTTTATTAGACAATATTTTCTAAGTAAAAACGCTTAATAATTAATTTATTAAAATAAAACTAATATTTTATTAATTACTACGAGTTTTTTATTATTTTAACGACATTCACATCTCGTTTTTGTGATGACAGTATCTTCAAAGTACCCGAAACATCGGGAGTGTGTAGTTTAAATAATAAAATAACACGTATTAATCCGAAAATAATTGATTTGAGAGAGAAAAACAGATAATATATAAAATAATTACTTCAAGTTTGTAAACAAGGAGGTTGAAGGTATTAATAATAAATATATATGTACTCACATAATTGCGTACATCTTCGGAGATCGCGACCAACTAAACGAAACAAATGTCGCTTCAAACTTTATAATGACAAAAATATTATTTCTTAATGCGATCTTAATTGCTTATTCTTCTAAATAATTAGTTAAATTTATTTATTGTTAAAAAGAATTAAATTAAATTATTCTTTTATAGCTAGTAATATATTTGATGAATCAATTGATTGAAATAAAGTTTTTGTTATTTCAAAATACGTGTTTGAAAGGTATGTCACGTGACTTTGATTAATGAGTTTTGGGTAAAAATTTGATAAGAATAATGTATATGCATGTCTTTTTCTGTCTTTAATTAATATTTAACTACTTTTTACGTATAATAAAATATAAATAGGCTTCAAAATAGTCTAGATATTTGTAAAAATGTCTTTTAAAACATTTAATAAGGAGTGGTTGAAACGCCGTCATTTTGCGTGACTTCACATGACACATCCAGTGTTTAAGATTTGAAAAAACTATGAATTCATAGAAAAAATAATTTTTAAGGTAACTGGTTATAATATAGCCAAGTTTTATTATATATATTACGAGAAACTATGTGTTATAAAATTATTTTAATTATTGAACATGTAATAATTGATAGGAGTTAAAATTTATTGTATATATAATATTAATATTTTGCTAATATATTACGCGCTATGAAGACATCTCGTGTTAATGATCACGGTTGCTGTAAAGTAACCGAAACGTCGGGAGTATGTAGTTTTTAACGAAAATAAAGTCGCGTAGTATATCCGAAAAATATTAGTTTCATTTAAATTTGAAAAACACGCGAAAATCTCATATTCTTTTTCTAAATGGCAATTGCCCAGCTTTAGTCAGGGTCTGCCTTACATGTTGTTAATAGTTTTGGCTATTTATTTTTCCGACCGGCCGCCTGCCTGACATCAACCCTCTTTGGGAATGCATTAATCAGTGATGTCTAAATACTCTTAAAAGTACATATGACTCGGAAAAATTACATTGGTACTTGCCAGGACCGAACCTGAACCCTCATGCAGGAGAAGCGGGCCTTTAACCACTAAACCACAACTGACTAAATCTCAAATCTCATTATATATACATAATGTTTCTGTTATTTTCATTAGTAATTCTTTGTTTATATCTGATGAAATTGGTGCTTAACTAGCATCTATTGAGACTTAATATTTAAGTAATGGAGTATTAGGTAAGTCAATACTTCACACGAACCATTTCTTCTTCTTTCTGCCCTGGTCCCACTTTATGTATGGTCGGCACAACATGTTCTCTTCCAGTCTCATCTATCAGACGTCATCTCAATGGTTATACCTTTCTTAGCCATGTCATCCTTCACACAATCTTAGGTCTACCTCGGCCCACATATTCCTCCACATTCTATCTAACATTCTTCTTGTTATATAACATTCATCTCTTCGCATAATATGTCCATACCACGCTAATTACTTACACTAACCATCTCTCTCTCTTCTAATATTACTTTGTCGTCAATTGCTACGTATTTCTTTATATATACTAGCTTTCCGCCCTCAGCTTCGCCCGCGTGTAGTTCGATTATATCGCGTTTCCAAGAGAACCTTTCAAATGTCTGGGATAAAAACTATCCTATGTTCTTTCTCAAGATCAACTCTATGTCTGTACCAAATTTCATTAAAATCAGTTCAGTGGTTTAGGCGTGAAAGCGTAACAGACAGACAGAGTTACTTTCGCATTTATAATATTAGTAGAGATCAATCTCATAGTTTCTATTATGTCTTTTACCGTAATCTTTCATTAACCATAATCTTTTGTGAATTTCTTTTTCTGTTACAATATTCTGTATGTAAATAATTTTTGAGATCTAAGGTTATATCGAGTACTTATTCATTTAAATGAATTAATATTTTTGGATTACTACGTGTTTTTTATTATTTTAACTAAGTATATACTCCAGATATTTCGATTACTTTACAGCAACCGTGATCATAAAAATGTGTTGTGAATTTTAATTTTGGAAAATTTAGTTTCTTTTAAATAACGTTTGTGTGGTGTACGAAAAGAATCATTTTTACTGAGAAATAAAAGCAGAGTTAATTTAGCTTGACCTTTTTATGAAGAGATATTAAATTTTAAATAGGTACTATGTAATTATAAGGATTAAAAAATCAGTCAGAAATAAACCTTTGTTTTTGATATTTTTGATGTATATATTTATTGTTTATTATTCTTAATAATATTGATTAAATATGAATTCTTCAAGTACATTAATCTTTCTAAACGTATTTTGATACAAAAAAACCTTTCCATCGAACGCATAATGAGAAGTAATATTTTAATGAAACAGACAAAATTAATAATTATTCCTAATAATTATTTTACTATCGATAATCAAACAAATTAAATAAAAAGAAAAAATAACTACACGTAAATTTAAATAAATTTTTATTATTCACATTATTAAATACTGATATTTTAATTTTTATAATAATTCACATTTCCGCCGCTAGATGTCACTGTTATTAATTCCAACAATTACTAGTTTCATACTTTGATGAAAATATATTTTCTTATCATCTTATTCTATTTTATTCTTAATTATTGGTGATGAAATTAATCATCATCATCATCATTTCCACTATCATTGGATACTTCACCATCACCTATGAAGACTTCCTCTTGTAACATATTTTGTCTTAATTTGCTATTTAATTGCAAAACTGACGCCATAGCCATTCCTGTACCGAAACTATACTCTATGGGTTTAAGACCTTCGTCTATATTATCTATGGACGCTCTTTTGGCTGGAAAATTCTTCTTCCTCAAAGCTCTATGCCGCCTTACATCATTCAACAACGCCATTTTGTTGTTGTTAATATTCTCGAAATCACTGTCAGAAGATTCTAATTCCTCTCTGGATACTCTGTATTTGTCTTCTATGTTTTCTTCTTTATTCTCTTCTTGCAAGTCTAACTTCGATATATTGAAATTTATCGGTTTAAATCTCTTCTGCGATAAGAAGAATTTTGTTTTAATTCTTCTTAATACAATTGGTGTATCATCTTTGAATACATTTATATCAAGAATTTCGTTAAGATCTTTCTTATCTACTTCCATCAGGTAATTTCTTTTGTGTAGCTTTTTCGATTTCCGTTTCCTCCTAACAATTTTCGATATAAAACCTTTTCTATCCGCGAACTCTTCGTATTTTATTTGTCTTGGAAACTCTGGTACTTCTATTCCTGGCATGGTCTTTGCTAACGCCTGTCTTTCTCTTTCTCGCATTAAATCCTCTCTTTTCCCCAATTTTCTTTTCAATTCTTTCAATACTACCTTAGAATTTTCCTTTTCTTTATGCCCTGGTACTGTTAATACGTCTCCTGTGGGCGATTGAGGTCTTTCATCATCAGTTTTAACGAAATAGAACACTTCATCTCTTATTTCCGGTTCCTTGTCTTCAATTTGGAGAAGAATCTTCTCGTTCTGTTCATATTCTTCTCCATCCTTCACCACTTCTTCTCCGTGCAACTTATTCTGCATCTTCCTTAACCTTATCTGCGAATTCTGCACCGTTGCTAGACATTTGGATATGTTATCTATAATCTCATCTATATCTCTATCTAGCACGTCTAGATCTAGCGTCTGTTTGTTCAGAGCGCACGAATCTAGGAACATATCTAGATGGGTGGCCTTGTCTAGCGCGATTTTCATCTCCATACATGATCTAGCTACTCCTGTATGTATCTCTGCGTACAGCCAAGTCTTTATAGCGTCCCCAGGTTTTTTGACAGCATTTTCTGTGTCTTTAGAGCCATAATTCTTCAATAATCTGTACATTCGCTCCAACGCGTGGTAATTTTCTTTGAATTCTGCCATAACATGGTCTATTAGAGTGTTGTGTATCCAATATATTCGTTCATTCTGGTTCTTATATAATTTGAACGTCTGTAGCGATGGTATGAAATGCGCGAGTGCTATATACTTCAAGAGCGTTGACTGTACCACGAGGAAGCCATGATGGATTTTCTGTAAAACAAAGATTATTATGGAATTTGCATCATAAACATCAGGTTTAGACACAGACATGCAAAATATATCATAGATTTATATATATATACTAGTTTTTGCAGGCAATTTCGTTTGCGTTAGTTTCAGAATTAGAAATATATAGCTGACCGAGCGAACTCTGTTCTTTCTTAAAGACGGTAGATATGTTTTTAGATTTTATCAAATTATTTTTCTTTTTCAATCTCATGAAAAGCACCCTATGTCCTTTCTATGTTCTAATCTATCTCTCCACCAATTTTCAACCATATCCCTACAGTTGTTCTTGAGTTATAAATAGTGTAACTAACTAGTGTAACTATATATATTAATCCAAAGAATCACCTAAGTATCACCTATATACATCAAATTTCAATAAAATCGGTTGAGCCCTTTTCGCATCAAAGTATAACAAACACACATCCATACATTCTCACAAACTTTCACATTTATAATATTATCTATATATATCTCACCACAATAGTCCCTTCCCCCACAGAGGGCACATCCCCCCTAATCCAGGGCGCAGTCCCCAACACGGCGCTCGAAGCCCTAGCCATCATGAGAGACAACTCAGTCTGTTGTCGACACAACAAAGTCAGCATAGAAGACACCGTCATTGACACAGACTGCCTTGAAACAGAAATATTGAATATTATTTATCTGTGGACTTATAGGATACAGATAATAAATAATAAAAGTATTATGTTATCTGGAGACAATAGTCGTGATGGTCGTGATGCCAAGTAGAATAAAAAGGTTTTTAATAATCTATTCAATAGTTATAAATATAAAAATTCATTTGTAAGTTATTTCTTTTAGAATATATATAAATTTATCCAACTACATACATTTCTTTCGACTAAAAATCCTAAATCTCAGACAAAATCGCGATCAAAAAGGAGTTCAAACATATTAACATATAATTTATTCTTCATTTTCCTGGCAATTTCCCAGCCTTAGCTAGGGTCTGCCTTACATGTCGTGAATAGTTTTGGCTAATTGTTTTTACGACCGGCTGCCTGCCTGACATCAACCCTCTTTGGGAATGCATTAATCAGTGATGTCTAAATACTCTTAGAAAGTACATATGACTCGGAAAATTCACATTGGTACTTGCCAGGATCGAACCCGCGCCCTCATGCATGCGGGCCTTTTAACCACTAGGCCACCACTGACTCAGAAATTTAATATATTATGTATAACTTATATTTGGTCGTTATTGTTAAAATAATAAGATATCAAATATATTGTAGGTAGTTTACTATTATATAAATTCTGTCATAATCTTGCTACTTTCACATAGCATAATACATACATAATGAATTTAATATAGTTATGTATGTATAGCGTTAGATAGGGTCCCTTAAACCTACACCTGGGTCGCAAGTCCCAGTCACTGTTGAAGCTCCTCTCACTACAACGATGGACCCTACACATACATATGAATACTGAATGATGAGAGGTTTTGTCTCTGTTCTTGAAAACACCATGTATAACTAGTAGAATACACACACACACACACACACACACACACATACATATACATACATACACATACATACATACATACATACACACACACATATATATATTACACAGTAAAATCACTACTCACAGTGCCACACCAACGACCGAGTGTTCCCTACAACAAGCTGCAGCTCGTCTAGCTAGTGCTGTATAATCCCTCATGATGTTCAACATCGGCAGCAGCTTACCGCTGCAATAGCTTCTATGAGCTGTCCTTATGAGCAGTGGTATGGCCGAGTAAGCTGATAGCTTGAGAAGATTTGATCGGTTGAAGCTGAAATCATATGATATATATATTTATTTATTGTAATTTTGTTATTTATGTAGTAAGTGAACTATTTCTGATCAGCATTGTAGTTTGGAAATGGCAAAATTAGTTTAATTTGAAGTTCTGTCTTAGTTATAACCAGGGTATTTTATGTTTAGTTATTAAAAGATCTAAAACATATTTATATTACATATACTAGTTTTTGCCTGGGGACTTGGTCTGTGTTAGTTTCATAATTAGAAATATAGAGCCAACCGGTCGAACTCTATTCCTCCTTAATGACAGTAAATAAGAATTTGGATTTTATCAATTTCTTTTTCTTTCACAATCAGATGAAAAGTATCCTATATCCTTTCTATGTTCTAATCTATCTCCACCAATCTTCATCCAAACAGTACATCTTCATCCGTACAGCCGTTCTTGAGTTATAAATAGTGTAACTAACACAACTTTCTCTCATATATAAAGACTAGCTGACACGGAAAACGCTATTTTGTCATATTATAAAACAAAAAAAAATCGTTCAAAAATTAATTTTTTTTTTATATATAAAGATATTATAATTATATGGTGATTATCTTCAATGCATACTAACTTTCTCGGTGGTGATAAGAACAGCAATCCAGCCAGGGTTACCACCATAATATTCCGTTCACCTCTCGTCAGCCAACCCTTGATGCCAGCCCTGGTTTTAACTGTCTCTGGATCAGGAATCTCTTGCTCAACTTCTACACTGTCTTCTCGGAAGAGCAAACCGCTTTCCAGAATACTTATTATGTGTTCTCGACTATAGATTAACTGGAATGATACGGATTATAGATTATTATAGATGATATTTAATTCTGAATTAACTATTTAAATATTGAAAGGAGGTTGTATATATACATATATTATAATATAAATAGATATACTTATTAGAGACTGAAATGATTTGAATTATTCTTACAATTGATAGTGTGTCATACATTTTGCTTGAAAATCATTTTATTATGAACAAATAAAAAAAGAGACTTGAAAATGTTAATTAATATAATAATATATTAAAAAAAATACCATATTTGGTCTGAATTTCATTGAGATCCACTTTCTTGAGAGTATTGGTGGACTGTAGTCTTGTTTCATGAACAAGGCCATCTGAAAACATATCCAATAATAAGAGACTAAACCTCTCATCATTCCATGTATTCACGGTGCGTGTGTCGGGTCCATTGTTGTAGTGAGAGGAGCTTCAACAGTGACTGGGACTTGTGACCCAGGTGTAGGTTTAATATATATAGAGAGACGAAACCTCTCATCATTCAATGTATTCACGGTGCGTGTGTCGGGTCCATCGTTGTAGTGAGAGGAGCTTCAACAGTGACTGGGACTTGTGACCCAGGTGTAGGTTTAAGGGACCCTATCTAACGCGTTAAACACTCACCTCCACTGTCCAAGCTTCTCTCTCTACCTAACCAAATTTGAAAAGATATATAAAGATATCATAGCTACACAATTGCCTAACTCAGGTATTCCCAAACTTTTGTCCGTTCATTTTCACTAATCTTATAAACTATCAACCATATATCATAGATCAAAAGTTTGCAAACTCATTTTGTCTTTACCTACTTTGAGAATGAATTATTTGTAAGTAACCCCATTTTTCATCCTACTGTAAAACCACTATAACTTGACCTAGCTAAATGAAATTACAGATCATCCCAGCTAGCAATTTTGTCTGGATCTTTTACAGCCCCTTAGGCCAGTAGCTCCCATAAGTGACGACATCACACACTTTGAGAAAGGCTGGTTTAACAATATATTGAAAATAAAACTGAGGTTTTCATGAAAAAAATATAGGCTAAAAGGATTTAAACCCATGACTTCCAAAGTATCAAGTTACAGATTTTTTTTTACTTGGTTACATACGAAATGCCAGAAGTTTCAGCCTCAAATCTTATCTGTGTTATCTTTTATTTTCTATATCAAATTAATATATTTAGAATAGAATTTAAATAAGGAAAAACTAGTTTCTAAAGAAATAAGTGAATACTATTATGAATTGATCTCAAATATTTTAATACTACACTTAAGTACCCTTTTTATTTGATTTTATATACTGTAGGATAAATTTTGGCTATCTTTTAAACAAAACTAGGTTGTAATCTACATTCTTATTTTGATATTGTTTTGTGGATCTCCAATTAGGGTAGTTAATTTTCATTATGACTTTGCGTTCCCAAATATTATCAGAATAATACTAGATCAATTTATATAAATACGTAGTTTAAATCGTAACTTGTAAATAATAAATCAATGTCTAAGAAATGGTATATATACTTCACGTATAAAAAAAATATCCACACCTTTGGTAAATCTTTCAAAACTTCATACGAGATACAAATTATTTAATAAAATCACTTTTTCATAACACTATTTTCGATCACCGGTATATATAACTAAAAACTGTGTGGTTATAGAACGAACATTGGTATATCCTTATATATATATTATTTATCTTAACTTCAAGGATAAGATTGTTTACTTTTCTATTTGTAATAATTTTGCACGATTACGGCATATTTTTAAAATAATGATTCAAAATAAAATCTTCATGTGATTTGACAGCCACTTTTCACTGTCAAAATCCTAAATATAAATGTAGTACAAATCGGATACACGACGTATATTTTATTAATTTTATAAAGAATTTTTCTTTATATAAATACGTAATATCTATATAATTGAATTAAAAAGTAAATTAATGTTGTTATTAGATTAAAAACATACAATTTTATACTATATTACAGATTTGCTGTACATATTTTCACTACACCTTTTTTTGTATTACTATAAATTATCATCACTGAAGATTTTCAATTTTATATATTTCTAAATGTAAATGTTCATAACAAAATATTTATATAAAATTGATATCATAAATCTCTTATATACATACATCATCATCAGCCTATCAGAGCCCACTGCTGAGTAAAGGCCTCTTCTCACATGGAGAAGATTTATGTTATAATGGTAATTTCGAACTGATTTGATATAATAAGACCAGGTTTCCTCACGATATTTCATTCATCGTCTGTAGTAGTGTCTAAATACTTTTAGAAAGTACATATGACTCGGAAACATCACATTGGTACTTGACGGGATCGAACTCGCGCCCTCATTGCACGTGAGGCGGGAATTTAACCTCTAGGCCACCCACGACTCTTATATTTATTCTTTAAAAAGGTTTGAAACAAACACAAAACCATAGTCAAAATATATTTATTTCACATCCACCTTTGTATATAATAAAAATTATATAAATATAAATTCGTATAACAGATAAAATAAAACACATATACAGGGTGACTGGTGAATTACTATCGATATTTGAGGACGTGATATTTGACGATAATATATGACAAAATAAAAATTAATATAACATAAATATTAATAAACTTCTAAGTAAAGTTAACCAAAAGTTATGTAATTAATTACGCATCGTGTGAACACCCTACAGATTAGGTATACACTGAAACTCACACATACGCGTGTCGTGACGTAGTGTTGTATCAACACGTCGCCGCACGCGTCCACACTTGAACACTTGGAACGTGTCAACACTTTATTCATTCATACGGAAATTTTGTCAAAAATTAAGTGCCTATTTTTTTTACATAATTCGAATGAGAATCATGTACCGAGTATTCTCCTTAAATATTGATAGTAATTCACCAGTCACCCTGTATAGTTCATACTATACATCCCATAAAATCAATCTTCAGTTCACTGGTGATAAAATTTTATTTAATTAATATCCGATTTATATTTTTTTGGTGTTGCCATATAGAAAGTTGTTGTAATGGCAACACTGCTTATAATTTCGAGTTTCCCTCCAAACCTGCGATTCCGTACAGCAAGAATTGGCTTACAAACGGCGCAACTTCATCGGGGTTCACAGCGTGAATATCATGGCTGCCTTCGACGATTCTGAATTTAAAATTCTTATTCACGAACGCGTTTTCGTCGAACAAATATGGCGTCATGCTGTATAATGCTTGTTTTTTTGAATTGCCCGCTATTATAGCTAGTATTGATGTTTTTACTGATGTGAACATTTTTTCAATAACTTTGTCAGGTATTGGCGGGCTCGCTACCATTTTCATGCGAGGATCGAAACTGAATCTGTTAACAGTATTGCTAGATGTAAAAATAAGTTAATAAAATAGGTATTATTATAGACTGTTTTCTGTTAATGCTAAGTGTTACCAAGTGAATAAAATTAAAATATTTATTCTCAATTTGTGCACTATATTACAATTATTTTTGTAAATATTTTTACGGCTCTGGATTTTAATCATTTAAGCCTATATAAATATTTTCTTACAAGTGTTGCCAGTTAAGTATTAATATTTCTCACCTCACATTACCATCTCCTAGGTTTTCAGTGGATCTTTCTATTATTGCCAACGCTGTGTCCAAGTCTAGACCTCGGCGGTCTATTAATTTGTTTAAGGCCTAAAAAAAATGGGCACTTTTAATTTATACTTGGCATACATATAAGAGAAAGTCGTGTTAGTTACACTATTTACAACTCAAGAACGGCTGTAGGGATATAGTTGAAAATTAGTGGAGAGATAGATTAGAATTTGATATGTAGATAGATTAGATACATTAGATAGAGAGAGATTAGAACAAGGAGACGGACATAGGATATTTAATTCTGTTAGTTGGAAAAGAAATGATTGGAAATTCACGGTCTCTAGATCGGAACAGAGTCATATATATTACTAGTAATACATATATATTACTAATTAAGAATATTAACGCGGAACCAGTCGCGGGCAAAAACTATATATATATTTAGGATGCATTTCAATGCTAGTACCACAAAATCTTAATAATAAAATCCTTGTCAAGTTTATATTACATGAATTAAAATACTCACAACTTCCTTTGTATAAACCGGTTTTTCATCCAATGAACTATATCTTTTGTAATTCTTGAAGAAATCCGTGAAGAACATCTTGTACCTGTTGGAAATAAAAACATGACTGACCGGAAATGAATCTACTACTCAGATAATTTACAGCCACTTTCACTACTGTACTGAGCTACAGTGTCTATTAGAGATAGCTATACTAATTTAAATGAAACTAATATTTTCGGATTATTACTTATTTTATTTTAACTAAATACTCCTGCTATTTTAGTTATAAAATACGCGTAGTAATTCGAAAATATTAGTTTAATTTAAATGAATACTCGAAAAAGTCTTAGATATAAGTAATAATGTTTTATTGAAACAAAGATAATTAAATATTACCATGTCGGAAATTCTTCTGGAGGTACAGAGAAGGCTAATGTTACTGGATCCAGTAATACCATTTTATTTATTTTATTTGGATACGCCATGTTATATAGAAGACCTGAAAACATATGATAGAATAATGAGAAGCTTCATCTTAGACATGTATATGGATGAGGTAATTTAAACTTCATAATTAGTTGATGATGCAGACAGTAAAATAGTTATGGTAATTGCTGGTAAAATTCTGTTTAATTCTAATCCCTACTAATATTATAAATGCGAAAGTCTGTCTGTCTGTTTGTTACGCTTTCACGCCTAAACCACTGAACTGATTTTGATGAAATTTGGTAGTGGAGTTGACCTTGAGAAAGAACATAGGATAGTTTTTATCCACGACTTTTGAAAGGTTCTCTTGAAAACGCGATATAACCGAACTCCATTGGGCGAAGATGTGGGCGGAAAGCTAATAATTTCTATATTTGATCATCACAACTTAAATATGGTACATCCATAGGTTTATAAGCTTACCGAGTGAACTTCCAAGCGAATGTCCCATGAATGCAAACTCTTTCCACCTAAAGTGTTTCACGACCACTTGCAAGCTGTACACGAGGTCGAACACTGTAATCATTAACCCAGGAGGCATAGCATCTGACTTTCCACATCCTGGTAACTCGAAACCTATATATATTAAAACTATTGTAGTTTTATATATTCAATATACAGGGTGACTGGTGAATTACTATCAATATTTAAGGAGCATACTCAGTACATGATTCTCATTCGAATTATGAAAAAAAAAAATAGGCACTTAATTTTTGACCAAATTTCCGTATGAATAAATAAAGTGTGTACACGTTCCAAGTGTTCCAAGTGTGGACGCGTGCGGCGGCGTGCTGATACAACAACATGCCGCCGCGCGCGAGTGTGTGTGTGTGTGTGTGTATACCTAATCTGTAGGGTGTTCACACGATGCGTAATTAATTACATAACTTTTGGTTAACTTTACTTAAAAGTTTATTAATATTTATGTTATATTAATTTTTATTTTGTCATATATGATCGTCAAAAATCACGTCCTCAAGTATCGATAGTAATTCACCAGTCATCCTGTATATAACACACTGTCTCACGTACCCCACTAGAGGGGATGCATGCGCTCGGCAGTCTTGCGACTAGCGTGAAGCAGAACGGGGACGTGCGTGAGCTCTATGCGGGTTAATAGTGAGACATTAACTAGTTATTTTTACATAGAGGACCAAAGGTTCTACAACTATGATAATTAAAGATGGACTAGAATTTATTGTCATATATTTCTATATAAATAAATCTTTAAGCAGCTTGAAAGAGCTGTGTAGCGCCTTGAAGTGTATGTAAGTTATTCCATTTGAGATATTAATGGAACAAAAATAATCAATTTTCTCATTTATATGGTGTTTAACTTAAATATCAGTCATTAATTGAAAGCATATTAAAAATATATTTAATTTTTATACATAATAACTTCTTTTCTATTAATCAACTGACATTAGTAATAAAAAAAATTCTTTGTCAAAAATGGAGGGAAAAAATTATTAGAAGCATTCAAGTTAAAAAAAAAATACAGTGACACTTAATTATTTGGGTATATTTTAAGTAAATGTATCTGTATGAAGTATTTTAGTAACTAAAATACTCAATTACAGTCTCATAAGGCCATTTAATTTATAATTTAGAATAAGTACTGGAAAATCTACAGTAATTTTCCTTATGGTTTATTTTCCTTAAGAATGTATATCAAGTAACATAAATAAATTTATAAGCATGAAATAATTTTAAATATACCATTTTTGACTTTAAAATATTATTGTTATGCAAAATAAAGAATTAATTTGATTTTTTGTTCATTTGGAAAGTAATTGAGAACTTTCTAACCTAAGATATGAATTGTTAATTTATATGGGACTTCTGATAATTGATCAGGAATTATCGACTAATCCCGATTGCTACCTTCACTCCCTCGACAATAACTAATGGGTCACTTGCTCTTTCAAGTTGAAACTTTACAGATTGTTTCAACACCACAATAAGCTTATTCTGAGTAATAATAGTATAGTCTAAATAATAAATACAGAAATATAATAATGACAGTTCCTAAGAAAAAAATAAATTCTGCTCCTATACAGGGTGACTGGTGAATTACTATCGATATTTGAGGACGTGATTCGTGACGATCATATATGACAAAATAAAAATTAATATAACATAAATATTAATAAACTTCTAAGTAAAGTTAACCAAAAGTTATGTAATTAATTAGGCATCATGTAAACACCCTACAGATTAGGTATACACACACACTCACACATACGAGTGCGGCGGCGTTGTGTTGTATCAGCACGCCGCCGTACGCGTCCACACTTGGAACACTTGGAACGTGTCAACACTTTATTTATTTATACGGAAATTTTGTCAAAAATTAAGTACCTATTTTTTTTACATAATTCGAATGAGAATCATGTACCGAGTATCCTCCTTAAATATTGATAGTAATTCACCAGTCACCCTGTATATGTATAATTGTTGATAAAAATATGCTTTATCAATATATACATATGGTTTGATAAAATGTATTCTATCTGTATAAAAATTACATTAAGTCGCTGTAATTCTAAAAAATATTATTTTAAAATAATGTATATATGCTTTTATGGCTCTGGATACAAGTTATTTTGAGTTTTTTGAGATTAAAATAATAATTGAAGTAATGTTGCCATGCAGATTATAATTTCAATAATTGGTAAACATACCTATATAATAGAAATTTTGGGGTAAACGCTTGATGAGCTGCCTGAAACTGGCAATGGAGTCCCAGCTTCCATGACAGACCAGAACTGGTGGGTTTATGGAGTTTCCCCAAGCAACAACTATAGAAAATGTATATATTTAATAAAAAAACATTAAAACAATAACTTTCTTTATACATAAAAATGCGGCTAGATTATTACGTAATTCTAAATACTTCTTAAAAAAATAAAGAGGCAAAGGTCATTGCTTAAGTGATTTAAGAAGGAATAATATGAGAATTTAAATATAAACTTTAAATACAATATGTTACCAACCACACAAACGACCCCACGGCGCTTCTATAAACCATTCCTTCTCAGTTAAAGTCATTTTGATTTATTAAAACTTTTTAACATAAAATCGAAAAAAATAATCACAGATTTTACGTTAATTCACATTAAATGCACAGTTTATCACAGAAGTTCACTTAACTATGGGAAATAAATGTTAAATTAGGAAGATATTATTATTAAATTTAATATTTAAGTACTATTCTTATAAGTTATCGCTCCGCGATGTTTTTTGGCGTAAAAGTTCTGATATGGGCAATGTTTGTAAGACCTATTATGACTTATGACTTCTATTTTACATGACATTTGAATAGAATGTTTCATGTGACAAAAATGTGTCATGATAATTAATTTTCTATTGAAATTTTTATATAAATTATTGATTTTTTTATCAATAATTAGTAATAATTAATTTAATACTTCATATAAAACGGAATTAATGTAATATTTAGATTTTTTAACATTCTTTATACTCCGTCTCAATAATCGTCATAAACAAAAAATATATTGATTTTTTATTTTAAAAAAACAGAATAGATTAGGCAAAAGTATTTGATCTGATTGAAGTAGCATTTTACTTCTTTCATTCCTAACTTTTTACCCAGCAGATAGAAGTGTTATAACAGCTACTTCTCTATATACCTATTAAAAGTCTTGGGCCTGTTCAGAACTAATATCAATTCATTCTTGAAATGTACAGGCAGGCAGATAGGTTCGTTTAAAATTTGGCTAGGTAAGGAGAAAAGTCCCAGTCACTTTTGAAGATCCTCTCCCTGCAACAATGGACCCGGCACCCGCACGATGAATACATTGAATGACGAGAGGTTTCATTTTATAAAGTTAAGCAAATGCTGTTGTGTTGTGTTTGACAGATGAGACTTTCATTTTCCCGAGGAAGTAATTTACAATGTTCACCAAATGGAGTGAACATTTATTTTAAGTAATAATCTTTTTTTTATGTTAAAGGTGGCAAACGAGCAGACGGTCCACTTGATGGAAGGTGGTTACCGTCACCCATGGACATCCTCAACATCTTTGTTGCGGATGCGTAGCCAACCTTGTTTTTTTAGGGATAGGGAAGGGTGGGAATAAGGAACAGGTAGGAAAGGGAATAAGGAAAGGGCAACCGGGTCTCTCACTCATCGGACGAAACGCAGCCATTAGAGGTTACTTCACGCCGATCTATGAGAGGGTGGTACTTCCCCGGTCGAGCCAGCCCATGTTCGAGCTGTAGTAACTGACCACTGCTAGGCTCTACCACCTCTTCCCTCGCCTTTGGTATTTTTTATTTGTTTTCATACTAAAGTAATCCAATCCAAAAATATTTTTATGAAATATGTATGTACTACACAAATTCGTTGCATTGAATATCTTAAAGATCGCATATATCCGATAATGTCGCCTACTATCACGCATCTGCCTGTTCGGATAAAACTATAGCTATTATTTTGAGTCACTGTGGTATACTATGTTGTTGACTGTTTCCGGCGACCCGCTCACAGTGCGTTAATTTCGGGATTAGCATAAAAAGTACCCTATGTCCTTGTCTCGGTTTCCATTTATTTGAATAACAAAACTCATCCGAATCGGTTCAGCGGCTTAGGCGTGCCAACATGACATACAGACTTTCTTTCGCATTTATTATATAAGGAGGGATTAATGTTGCTTTGTTGTTTTACGTCTTGACTTTTCTCAAATGAAATCCTAATAAAGTACAAAAATAAAATTATTTTTCCATAAGAAAAGAAAATAATATATAATATAGATATAAGTTGTCTTTTTCTACACGGAATACTTATATTTTATGGTCTATTATCTGCTGACGCAAGTTCTCAAATTCTTCCGACCACTTCATACGTTAGCCGAAATAGAGAAGCGAAATTGTAAAATATTATATTATATATAGGTATTCAGTTAAAAGCATTTATAGAAGAAGCAGATATTTAAATTTTCCATAGTAAATAACATCATTCCAATCTCCATAGTTTTAGAAACCACATTGGTTTTCAATTACGAAGTTTCACTTCTTTCTTTCCACGCACTATTTTTTATTAAACATGTGATAAACATGTTTGTAATCGAAGAAAAGACTCTAAAAGTTCTTAATAATACGAAAAATAGTAGCATTTAAAAAATAATCAAAGAGTTTCATTTTCTTCTTACTTTACGTTGACCTATTTACAATAATAAAGAGAAATCTGTCTGTTTTAAGTCTGATTATCGGAGTACAAATTATCTAAGGCAATAAAGTTGTAATATTGTTGATATCAAAAGCATATAACTAATAAGTATAAGTAATTTAGTATACGGCGAAACTATTGTTTTAAAAATGAAGAATTTGAGATTATTGTTCAACAAACAGTAAGTATAAAATTAAAATTTATAATATGAGAAAAAGTAAACTTCTATCTGACAAGAAATATAGCATTATATAAAACATGATAAGCCGAGAATAAGATAAAAGCTTGATAAATATCGTTAAAAATGTAACGTCACTTGACATTACAATTGATACACTCAAATATTGTATACACATAAAAACAAACATAATATTGTAAATTGTAAGTAAATTTTATTATTTTATCTCTTTTCTTCACTAAATCTCATTATTAAATTCATTAAACATATGAATTTGTAATTGTTTGCAATTGTTCAAAATGGCGCGGGCGTCCTTTAATAATTTTATTATGATTTATGACAATTACTTGACCTTGGTGTTACAAATTATCAAAATAGCATCTTATTTTTAAAGAAGATGTAATTATAATGTTATTTATTTCAGTATAATGAAAAGTCTAAGGGAAAGTGAAAAAGAGATTACTATTAACGCCCCATGGGGCAAGATCGCTGGTAAGATTTACGAAAAATATTATTATACTAACACACCGATTTTAACATTTTTTTTACAAATTAGTGCTTTGATCTAACTAAAGAGATAGGATAGTTTATTTTTCTATTTGATATTTTGTTTATTACGAATTAATTGTTTTTATCTGATAAAGAGACAAAATTCGATAAGATTTTAAATATGACAGTATAACTCCTTTGACTACATTGAGTAAGTGTCCAATAGATGGCGCTATGATAAAAGTACTAACATTTTAATTAAAACTACAATTTGGTATCTAGATTATTTAATATGAAAAACCTTCAACGTAGGTTATTGTATATATATTGTTTTAACACACTTTATATATTTCATGTTAATGAGATCCAAGACTTTCGGGAGGATTCATTTAAATGGCACTAATATTACTAGTATCTTTTTTAATTTATTTAAATTAAAAAAGATACTGTATATGTATTTACATACTCCCGACGTTTCGGTTACTTTGCAGAAATTGTGATTATGAAGACGAGATGAAAAGTATTCTGATCTCGTCTGTGGCTTTTCCAAACGTAATAAATTTAATATTATTTACGCTATTAGTCCGGTCAAAATAGGAAATAAAAATAACAAAAATTAATTGTTTATTGGAAAAAATCATAACATTTTTATGAAAAACTTTAAGATCTATAACTTTGTTTCTTTTTCACTATTAAACTGAACGTTTTCGAAACAAAATCAAAAGACCTCAAATTTTGATCTTTAACCCAGAATACTTTTTGGGGACTTTTAAAACATTATTTGTAATTATAAACCCAAGCTATCCACTTATAGATTGCTTGTCGTGAATTTTTGTTATTCGACCACTATTTTTATGTCTAAATTCACCAAACTACACTAGTATAATAAACGAGAATATTTGCATAATATTTTTACTGCCCCACGTGATATTTAGACCAGCAGCCAGTTAATAATAATAATAATAATAATAAACTTTTATTTCAACCAATCTGATCATATTTACAAAATTGTTAGTATAGTGCACTCCTTAACCTATTGTTAGTAAAAAAAAAAAAAAAAAAAAAAAAAAAAACTACATAACTTAAAATTATAGTGTTACAGTACCTTTCTGACATGATTTGTTTGTCAGCACATGGACCATACTGCAATGGTTCAAGTACTGACAATCAAACCTGTCAGAAAACGCTACTAGGATGCTGTTAGAACTGGCTCGAACCCTACGCACCAGGGATGCACACCGTTTACGCATGGTCGCGTAAAAGCAGTCCACATTCGCCTCGGCGAACATCCCAGACGCGCTGCAGAATCGAGGCAGCCCCATCAGCAACCTAAAAGCGTTGTTGTACTGCACACGTAAGGCGTTGTACTGTTTTTGCGAATAATCAATCCACAGGCTGCTCGTGTAGAAGGATGTACAGAAGGCTCTAAAAAGAGTTATTTTAACAAGTGAAGTACAACGAGCAAACCTGCGTGCGATCATGTTCGCTCTAACAGACAACGCCCTGCGTTCTCGCTCGATGTCCGCATCGTCCTTCAGGTCAAAGGATAGCACATGCCCTAGATATTTAAATTGATTTACCCTGTTCAATGGGGCGCCGTCTAGTTTTATCAACGGTATCGTTGAGGGCAGTGCTTTTCCTTCAGCCTTGAAGATCATGTATTCGCTTTTACATACATTATATACAAGACCATGATTGCGAGCATAGCTCATGCATATATCCAACAGTTTCCCTATCCCACACGCCGAGGCACTCAGCAGCACCATGTCGTCTGCGTAGCTGATATTGTTGATATTTACTCCATCAATATGGCATCCGGCACGCGTGCTGCTGAGCTCCTCTATTAAAGCGTTAATGTACAGGTTAAAGAGCTTAGGTGAGGTTAATCCACCCTGTCTCACGCCGCATTCCAACCTGTACGGGGACGAGAAACTATTTGACCATCGCACGACGTTCGACTGGTTTCTATACCAAAATTTAAAGATATTGTTTACTCCTTCCGGAATACCAGTATCCCGCATCTTTTTCCACAGGATATCATAATGTACCAAGTCGAACGCCTTGGATAGGTCGAGAAAACATGCATAAACTGGTGTTTTTCGCTGCGTATAGTACCTGACAGTCTGCTTGAGACACAAAATGGCAGACTCAGTGGATAGTCCTGGCCTGAATCCGAACTGATTGTCATGTAGTTTAATATAATGGTCAAGTTGCATATCAAGCAGACCATCAAGCACCTTAGCTGTAACGGTAGCAAGAGAAATCGGCCTGTAATTGGACTTGTCAGAAACGTCACCCGTTTTGTTCTTCACGATAGGCACAACCATAGTTTTCATCAGAGCTGCCGGCAGGTAAGAATGTGTAATACATAGATTATAAAAAGTCGCAAGCAGTGCCGGAAGCAAGGGGCCAGCGTGCTTTAAATGCTCTATACTAAGCCCATCATGGCCTGGGGACTTACCACGCGACATTGAGGTAATAATCTTGTTTACGTCCTCAGATGTAAAAACAAATTCCGATCCCCCGGTCACTCGATGCTTCCCCTACCTCTGACTGTGAAGAACCTAACGGAGACCTTACAGCAAAATGATCCCTAAACGTATTAGCAATGAGACCATGTTCGCTAATGCCCTCGACGCTCACAGGAAGACTCATCCCGCTATTAAATTTGTTAGTAGCCTTCCAGAATTGTCTAAAGTCATGCTTGAAGTGATGCGAAGCCAGGATATCCATTTTTATCTGCTCGGCGTTGTTTTGGCACCACTTCAAACGGGACTTGAAAACACTCCGGCTACTTCGCATTTCCTCATACACATCACCTTTCGTCGGCTTACCGTACCATACCCAGACTAAAAACGCCGATCTAGCCTCCCTGTGAGCCTCGCGTACATGCCTGTTCCATCCAACCACCGGCCGCTTCCTAAAACACCTGTTTGTGCGGCTAGACTCCGAGGCGGCATTAGTTAGAATATATATAATGTCACTATAGAGCTTATCTATATACATATTGTGAGTTACATTTTTACACAAATAATTACAGCATTTAATTTCATTATACAATTCCAAGGTACTTAATTTCTCGTGACATAGCTTACTATATAAGTTTATCTGTTCCGGCTTTTTGTCGCCCCATAGTATATCTTTAGCAATTATGTTCGAGTTACATATAAGTTTTGGTTTTACCACCCCTAAGTCACACTCTATTATCAGGGGATAGTGGTCCGACCAAAACACATCATACTTAACATAAACATTAACAATTGAAGCTAGCGCAGACATGGTGGCTATACAGTGATCTAACCATCGTCTCGACCCATGGGCCTCACTAATAAAAGTATATGTATCTGACGAAGGGCCTAAAAACTGTACATCCGCACACGTCCATTCTAACTCATTACAAAAACTTATAAGTTCGTTGTAAAACAGTTCATTTATATGTGAGTTATAGTCTCCGAGAGCATATACTGACTCGATATTTTCATTTTTAACAATAGCACTCACCGAACTGAGGCAATCCGTGAAATCCGGAACGTTTATCAGTTTATCCGTTGGCATATACACACTAAACACTAATAATGACCTTTGGTGTAACACTATCTTTATAGCACAGACTCTAGGGTTGTCACAGCGCACTACAGACACATTTTGGAACACACTTTTCCTGTTTCACTGTTAAAAGTATATCCTATCCATTTTTTCAGGTCTAACCTGGGGTAATCCGGAAAATCCACCGGTATTTCTGTGTCCCGGACGAATTAATCCATGTTCCTTATTTCGTTATCTGGTCATGAGATTGCCCAGCAGCTTTTTTTATGTAGCTATCGATTTGCCGGGTAATGGAATTTCTGATCATTTGCCGGCCGGCATCAGATTTTCCGTATGGGACTTAGTGCCAAGTGTAGCAAGAGTAGCTGATCATTTTAAGTGGAATAAATTTATTTACATAGGCCATTCATTAGGAACAGCTGTAGGTGGGTACAGTCTTGGTAAAAGTATTGAGTTTTAGTACGTATGAAACTTTAAAGATTAATGTGAGGTTTTGTTTGGTTGTGTCAGGAGATTATTGATTTTATTTGTATAGTTTCTGGAGAAATTTTGATATTTAAATTTAAATACGTACGAGTATATTATTTCAATTATATATATAATAATATATTATTTCAATTATTTTTTTTATTGTAAGACTAATTAATAAGTAATTTATCAATGAAAAGATGGACTGTCAAGTTTTATGACATAATCAATTTGACAAGTATGACAGGAGATTTAGTTAAGCAAAAAACATTATTTTGGCGAAATCTATATTATCTAATATATCAAAAAATAGATTGGGATGGGATGGGATGGCTAATGTTGATAAAAAGTAGTACATTTATATTGGCAATATTGTGCCTTCTATCTGGTAGTATTTAATGTGTGACACTATGGTTCAAAAATGGTATGTTGTCTTTTTAGTTGAGTTTTGTAACGGCACTTTACTTGGCGTTTATTTGTTATTACCAAATAAGACATTTGGAGCATTTATTCGTCTTCATTTGACATATTTGCACAAATAACACACATACACAAATAAGCGAAAACGCGTAAAGACGTTTAATGCCAAGTGTGGATGTCGTGTTTGCGCTATTTGGACTATATACAAATATTTGGACAAATACGACGAATAAGAAACGCCAAGTAAAGTGCCACCTAACATTTCTTCCTAAATAAGATTAACTATGACCAATATGTTTGTTATTTTTCATATTAAGAGCTATTAAACGAAGAATTATGACGTGTTTCATTATCAGGAAAGCACTATGTAATGGCTTATCCAGAGAAAGTCACACGTATTGTAGAGTTGGACCCAGTGCCGGCCTACCACACGGTATTCCCAGAGGAAATGAAGGATTGGTATCACGAGGTTTACGGCAACCATTATGAAGAAAAGCAGTATAAAAAACACGCGGGCTCCAAGGACACAGCACCGAAATATACTTACGATCAGGTAAAGATTACGACAATTAATAATAATGAGAACAGCTCAATATATTGTCGATTTTGGCTCAAATTAAATATTTTTTTCCATTAATATTAAAATATTAAGTGTGTGTTATAGTTGGTATTTGTAAGCTAGAATTCTTTGGTGAATTTGAGCGTCATTTAAACGATTCAAATGTTCGCGCTATATTGTTTCAAACGCACAAGATATATATATCGTAAGATAGATCCGACGATATCGACAAATGGGAACTGTAACAGTGTAATATATATTTTTTCGCCCGCGTGGAGTTCGGTTATTCGGTTCGGTTATCGCGTTCCCAAGAGAACCTTTCAAAAGTCTGGGATAAAAACTATCCTATGTTCTTTCTCAAGATCAACTCTATGTCTGTACCAAATTTTATTAAAATCAGTTCAGTGGTTTAGGCGTGAAAGCGTAACAAACAGACAGACAGACAGTCACTTTCGCATTTATAATATTAGTAGGGATATATATTTCCATATTTTAAAAACGCGCCTATCCGCCATCTTAACTTTGTCATGATTATAATGTACTTATTGTGATGAAAAAAATGTATTATTTTTCTAGCTAAAGACTTTAATAATGAAAGCCCAAGGCTTGTCTGAAGCCATAGTTGAAGAAATTATACCGCGGTACGCGGTACCGGCGGGAGATAACTTGTACAGGTAAAAATAATATAAGCTATATATATACAGTGTAAACTCTATATAACAACACTCGATTTAACGACAAACTCTTTAAAGCGTCGAAATCACTTGACTTTGGTTGGTTTAGGTTGTCTATCATACAATGATACATTCTACATAGCGGCACACCCACTCTCAATAACGACAACAATTAAGTAATAAAAAGTACCTTTTAAGTTGCTAAAATTAGTAAAAACTTTGCAGCTGTGTACGTTCCTTTGTCGCTTTGTTATACTAGCCCGCAATAAACTCGACTGTCCCTATCATGCATACCGAACTTTCTAAGAAATTCGTTCTTTTGTTTACAATTACAAATTGCTTACACGTGTCGACGGTTTTGGAAACCTACATGGAAGTAGATGACTGCCTCCTTACTACGGCTTCACTCACATACAAAGAAATTTTAGATTCAGTGAGAAAAACTGAGGATCAACAGCAAGGAGATAAAGAAGATGAGATAGATGAGCCTGAGCCTCCGCCGAGAATTAAAGAAGCTTTGGAAGCAGTTAAACTACTGGAAAATTATTTCTTTTATCACCAAGATGCCTCAATATTGCAAGATATGAATAAAATAACTAAAATAATACAACAACAGTACTGGTGCAGCAAAAGACGTCAAACAGAAATAACTGACTATACGCAATAGCGTTCGAATAACATTCTTTTTTATGTACATAAGTACTAACACTAGACTGAAATAAACTTTGTCTTTTTCTAATTCTGATTTATCTTCTCTCTATTTAACGGCAACTCTCTGTAACGCACTAAAGTGCACAGTCCCTTCAGTGTCGTTATATATATATATATATATATATATATATATTTAGTGAAATTCATTATTATTCAAAAGGCAATGACATACAGTCGTGGATAGTGCAAATCCTCGTAACTATCATTGTATAGTTTCTTGTATCTACATTGGAAGCAGATCAGAAGAAAGTTTGAGCTGAAATATTTTCTTTAATAACGATTTTAAAGTTATTTTTTTCACAATTAGTAATAAATTAAACATTAAATAATTATTTACAAAATTATCCAATCCTAGTTACGCGGTTTGCACTATCCCGACGATATGTAATGTCTTGTTTCTCAGACGCTAGATGGCGCTGTTATAGTTGCCGTATCAATTGTATAATATACAATAATTGGTTATATATATATATATGTTTGTATGATTTTTTGTTCGTTAAAACTTAATTCACTACGCCTCTTTAATAATTTTCTATGTACTTTACTTATTTTCGTACAATTTGTAACAAATTTACATTACCTTCCCAGATTAACATATGATCAGCGGATGAAAAGCTTATTCAAGGTGCCATATCTACCGGAGCAGCTTAAAGCCATGTTCACGTCACACAGCAAGCCAATACTCGCAATATTTTCCTCATTTAGTGTAGACCAGGGCGAATTTTCTAGAGTACCATTCGTTTTCGACGAAGAGCAATGGCCGAATCGTAATTATAAATATATTTTAGTCGATGGAAGCCACGAGGCGTACTCGGAGCAACCTGAGTGCATGTCAGATGAAATAAGCAAGTTTTTATTGAACGATCTTAAATCTAAATTGTAGATTGGCTGTATGATGTTGACCTTGGACTGTAATTTAAAAAAAAATAGTATTTTGACAGCAAAGAGGTTGAATTAAGGATGATATATTGTTCTCATCACTATTTGTACTTATTTATAAATATATGTTCTGTAATTACTAATTTTATACGTCACAAATCGTTATGACAAAATAGTATTTTGTAGTAAATATTGTAAATTGTTTATATTTAAATATAATAAGGAATTAAATAAAACTATTTACATGATATGTAATTTAAATTCTTTCCCATCCTTTAATATTTCTTTGTTACACAAAAATAACATCACAGCAATAAATATTTAACAATCATGTTTAACATATTTATTATTATCACCTTTGAAAAACCCCGAAAAAAATGTAACAAAATATAAAATATTTTATATTGTATCAAATAATATTATAACGCAACTAAAAAGAAATAAATATTCAAAGAAGTATAACTAGTTTGTTTACATTAATCTTGTTTCACTGGACTACTGAGGTAGTATGACAGTACTTGGTGTTTGTATTGTTTGTATTTATCTGATAAAAAAATATTTCATTAAATTAAAATTGTATACAGGGTGACTGGTGAATTACTATCAATATTTAAGGAGCATACTCGGTACATGATTCTCATTCGAATTATGTAAAAAAAATAGGTACTTAATTTTTGACCAAATTTCCGTATAAATAAATAAGGTGTTGACACGTTCCAAGTGTTCCAAGTGTGGACGCGTGCGGCGGCGTGCTGATACAAAACCACGCCCTCGCCGCGTATGTGTGAGTGTATGTGTGTACACCTAATCTGTAGGGTGTTCACACGATGTGTAATTAATTACACAACTTTTGGTTAACTTTACTTAGAAGTTTATTAATATTTATGTTATATTAATTTTTATTTTGTCATATATGATCGTCAAATATCACGTCCTCAAGTATCGATAGTAATTCACCAGTCACCCTGTATATATATATATATATTTCATGATCAAACAACAGGTTACTCTATTTTCATGAAAACAAATAACTTATTTGTCATAATTACCAATATAAATAGTGTCCTATAAATATAATAAAGTATAATTTAATAATTATATAATATATTCGTCATCTAATATTCGTGATCACGGTTGCTGTAAAATAACCGAAACGTCGGGAGTATGTACTTTATAATGATAAAATAACGCATAGTATACGAAAAATATTAGTTTCATTTAAATAATTAATATATATTATTAAGTATTTGTCAATGGTGAAGACAAAATTATAGATTCAAAATTTATACTATATAAATATATATATACTATAACTTAGATTTGACATCCATATTCAAAAAACTAATGATTTGTTCCGATAACCTTTCCGGATGTATGAAATGCACATCATGATTCCCGTCCACCCTCAAATGTATTAACTTATCATTCTTCTGGCATTCAGATAGATATTCTTCTATGACGATTCTTCTTTTTACACCAATTTTTAAATATTCTTTGGATGTTATATAGAGTATGGGCGGTGAGTTCTTACAGAATATTGTTTTATAATATTCTTTTGGGAAATATGTTGGAGCCATTAGCTTTATTCTGCGATCCCAGGATAATCTGGAAAATAGTTTTATATATTTAGCACTTGATGATGTTTGAGCTAGTTTTCACCTGGAATTTCCAACTGAATGATGAAGATTTTATATGTATATAATTTTATAATTATATGGATATAAAGCATGGTATGAGATTATTTATTAAAATATTAGTGAGTTATAGCATATATATGTATGGGAATGATAATAAATGCTAAGGTAAGAAAACAAATAATAATTATTCTAGTCATATATAAAAACATTTTTTTTTAAATCAGTCTTAGAGAAATATCTAAATTCTTATCAAATATGTAGTTATAATTAGCTATTGTATACTCTGTAACATGTTCTATAATCTATAATACTAAGAGAATTCAGTATTGCCAGCATTAAATAATGTTCAAATTAATTATACATACTTGTATAGATTATCACGAACTTTTATCAGATTCCTTGATAATATCAATTCCGCCTGCTCCCTCGTCATCTCTCTAGCCTTCATAACAGCTTCAATAGCTGATTCTTTGCTGTACAGCTTGTCTTCTTTCATGCTATTATAGTTGCTGTAATATTTATCATAGAACTCATAGAATTCTGAGAAATCTTCCATGATCAATCTTTGTAATGCTGGTGTCGGATCAAGTAGAACAAACTTCTTTATCTGACCGGGGAACACTGCATTGTAGAATAGACCTTAAATCATATTGGATAAAGTTTATTTCTGATTTTCTTTGCAATATACACTATTAACTAAGAATTTAAGAATTTTTTAAATATTGATTAAAGAAAATTCAATAATTTGTCAAATTACCTTGTTCTGTACCCAATGAATGTCCTATATAGTAGAATTCTTTCCATCCTAGATGTTTCACAACCACTTCTATAACACATACTGGAAACAGTCTCGTTAGAACGACACCTTGAAAATAATTACAAAGATAATTATATGCTAACTAGGAAAAACTTCATATTGATAATAATAAAGATTTTTCAAACAAAAATTGCTAGTTACTTATTAAATAATAAAGTGAAATTCCCATCAAAATCTGTTCAGCGGTTTCAGAGTTTAACCTCAATAGACAGACATATATCTTTTTATATGTATATAATCATATAAATTTATTCAAAGCTATTATTTCTAATACAATATAAATATATGAGATTATTATGCAAAAATTGGCGAAAGTAATTTTGATAAATAACATATAAGCATAAATTTGTCATATAATTTTCCAATTTGGGAATCTCGAGATGTACATACACTTCATTAGAAAAACTTTTAATACTTCCAGCATATTCAACAACTAAATTATATTACCTACCAATATTTAAAGCTATTTATATAAATTATTACAAAATTAACTCAAGAACTGTTCCGAGTTTATAATGTAAGTGAGAAACAAACATACATTCATTAACATTACAATAACATAAAACTAAAGCAGCTTACCGAATGGCAAGCTATCGGAGCGGCCATGCATTGGCATATCAAATGCTACATAATGGTAGCTCTTCGGTAAATGTTTTAAGAGTGGTATGAATGTTGCCGCACTGTCCTGTCGACCATGCACGAGAAGAACAGGTTTGCCACTCGGATTTCCCCATGATATTACTGGAAAAAATATTATAATTTGTCAAATTCTTATATATTTTATATATTTAGCAATTGATTTTAACAATGGTATACTATAATAATGTGCATTATTGAAATAAAATACGAAATTATTCGGAAAAATCTAGAAATAACAATTGTCAGGAATGTAGTTTTTTATATTCAGCCAAAATTGTTATATAACCTTCATATATATACTGTTATGTAATAAGCATTATTATAATTTTTTATAACCTTAAATATTTTAATTATGTGCTTATATTTTTGTTAGCATTAATATAAAACCTCTTTAGAACGAACTGTCTTGTCTGTCCTTAAGTTATTAAAAAAAAAATAACGATACTTACGAGCTACTTTACCCCAAGGCAAATCAATAAACCATTCTTTTAATACATTCATTTTAATAAAGAAGACTAAATTTACTTAAATGTTAACTTAATTTCGTCTAATTTGTACTTTGGTCTCAATACAATTATAATCAAAACATATTTTTTTAATCGTTCACAGATAATTTTTACCAAGTTTTTGTAAAGAAATTTAAAGCAACGGTTTAAAGAAATAATCCAATTATAGAGACTATTGATATATCGCTTAGATAAAATTAAAAAAATCACTAATTATAGTATAATCAATGTTAACGAATTCTTAAATTTGTTTTACTAAATTTTGACTTATTAATCTACACTTCGGATCATTATCGTGTTTTATAGATTTTGGCAATGTCGATTGTCGTGTGAATATTATTCATTAAGTTAAATAAATATTTACCATTTAAAAAACTGACAGCTGACATTTCTAAACTGTTGACGTTTGGAAATCGTTTTCAGTAATAATTTTATTTAATTTTATGTAAAATCATGAGATAACGAGAATATTTTGTTATAAATAGAATAATTTTTAAAATAATAAAGAGATAAAAAAATATATAAGAATTCTCAAATTAAAATAAATTAAATTTTCCAATTTCAGTATAGAGCCATATTAATTGCTTTCATTACGTTCTATTTTTTTATGTATATTTTTGATTAAAATAAAAATACCTATTTTACCCACAGCTTTAGTATTACAGAAGTAATTTTAAGTTTTTTACGTCAAATTATTGTATTTTTGTTACTTTTTGCTAACACTAACAATATCATACTGTTTAATTTATGAACTTTTAAGTATATTCATTAAGATTTTTTTATACGTCTACTATTTAATGATTATTTATGTTGTATTTTTAGACGTTAGTTTTACAGTATGATATTCCCAAAGAGGGTTGATGTCAGGCAGGCGGCTGGTCGTAAAACAATTAGCCAAAACTATTAACAACATGTCGGGCAGACCCTGGCTCAAGTTGGGAAATTGCCAGGTAGAAGAGAAGTTTTTTTACAGTATGATAGATCAGGAGTTATTTTTAATAATTCTCTCATTCTCTTGTTCAATGTTGACAATAAATGCATCTAAACGTTTGCTAGTGCTTAGTTTATTAAGAACTTTGACATCAACAAGTATATTAAATATCCCACAATAATACAATGCATTTCACACTTCTTGATACATCTTCAGCACCACTTCTAATACTACCTACAATAGCTGAACTATAAATTTAAATTATGATATTGGTTTTCTTTTAAAAAGTATTTATTTAGGAAACTAGGATTATATATGATCGGAGAGCACCGTGCAAGTTTAATCAGAAAGGCAGAATCTGGCTACAGCTGAGAAATTGCCAGGAAGAAGAAAAAGGAAAGCGTAGCGTCGGACGTCCACCAAGGAGATGGAAAGATGACTTATTCAAGGCTGCTGATTCACGGTGGATGCAAGTCACCTCCGACCGTAGTGCTTGGAAGTAAATGAGGAAGGCCTATGTCCAGCAGTGGACCTCAAAGGACTGATGTGATGATGATATCGGAAACTAAAACATCATAACCTAGTATGTCAAATAAAACGTAATGATTTTCGCGTACCAAAAAAATTTGTCATATGAGATCTAAGACTTTTGAGAGTGTTAAATTTAAATGAAACTAATATATAGAGAGGAGCTTGGACAGTGGAGGTGATCGTTTAACGTTAGATAGGGTCCCTTAAACCTACACCTGGGTCACAAGTCCCAGTCACTGTTGAAGCTCCTCTCACTACAACGATGGACCCGACACACGCACCGTGAATACTGAATGATGAAAGGTTTCGTCTCCCTCGAATTATTACGCGTTTAAAATTATTATTAGTGTCTAATCTTTTCAGCTTGTGATCACGGTTGCTGCAAAATAATTGAAACGTCGCGTCGGGAGTATGTAGTTATTACAAATAATAAAATAACGCGTAGTAGGTACATCAGAAAATATTAGTTTTATTTAAATTCACCTAATTATCTATATTAAATATCGGCATCAGCCTATCAGAGCCCACTGCTGTAAGGCCTCTTCTCACATGCAGAAGGTTTGAACATTAATCACCACGCTCGCTCAAGACAGGTTGGTGATTTGAAACTTATGATTGTGAAATTATAAGTCCAGGTTTCCTCACGATGATTTCCTTCACCGTATGTCAATGGTGTCTAAATACTCTTAGAAAGTACATATTATGTACTTACAAATACTTTTATATTAAATATATTGTTATTTAATTTAAATTACTTCAAAAATATTTAATATTAACATATATTTACATTTGTTTAAAACCATTTTCTAGTAAAATACTTTAATAAAACAGTAATTATGTATGTAATTGCTAATTACTATATATAAATCTGATAATTATATTTCATTTCTGTAACAAAAAAAACAGGAAATAGTAATAAAATCGAACTTTTAATGTAGATTTTTGATAAAAAAACGGTAAAAAGGTTTTTCCTTATAACTATCATCCGATTAAAATTCTTCTTGTTACATCTACCTTGAAGCGAGAACTTGTAGACCTTGCGAGAGGTGAATGGAATAAAAAGTACTTTGGAGGGTCATTTTATTAATAAAACATATATTATACACAATTTTTTACTGTTTTTAGTTGTGTATTTGCTAATATGGCGTCCTTCATAAAATGAGATGTCAAATTTGACGTAATTTCATCAGATGTTTAAGATTTGAAATCAATATTTGTTTTTGAATAAAAAATATAAGATAATTAATATTTGATTGGATATTTTTATGAATATTATATAAATAATTACTTTGTTGATATTGACTGCAATTAGAATTGATTCTTGGGATTTTTTAAATATTCAACATGTGGTTTCAGCTACTTTACATTTAATACGATTTTATTTGTTTTTATAAGAGTGCATGGAGTTTGGGGTAATTATTACGTTAAATGTGTATTCTTTAAAACATAAGTAAAGAAATATGGTGACCTTTATCGAAAATTTCTGAAAATACTTAAATTTTATCATTCGTACAAAATAATTACACTGAGTTTTGAGATGCAAAAGTATCGTAAAATATCACACATAAAATTATATTTAAAATAATAACCACAGTAATATAAACTAAATGGTTAATATCAAGGTAAATAAAACAAAATAAAAGTTTTGATTTCGTATATTCGCATAAATATTTTCGTCCAACGCCGCCATATTTGATTTGTAAAAAAACATTCCTCCTGTTCAAAACATCGCTTGCGTGACCGTCAACAATTAGTTTGTCAAATGTAAATATGACATTTTTTGTATTATTTGATTTTTGTTTGTTTGAATATCTGTAACAATATATAAATATATTACAATATTTTTTAATACTTTATATAATCAATATCTTTGTTTTTTGTCCTTCAAACTGCTTATGACGGGTATTTATTTACTTTTACGTACTATTATACATAATTACGGTAAATAAGCGTATATATGAAAGAATAAAATAAAATGTCTGTATCTTTGATTAAGTATTGAGATAAGTTTTCTTGAGAACTTTATTATTTATACTTATACATATAATAATATTTATAACTTAATAGACATTTTATTAAAACGATTATGAATAATGAAAAAATTTATTTAAGTCTTAAATAAATATACTAGAATTATACAGCACCATTGTTATGCTAAAATTTATCTTATTGACACTTACAATGCTATACATAAATGTACTTGAGAAAAACTTCGCTATTTTCTACCTAAAAATATATTGTTTTTTATGTGAATTATTAATCATTACCTATTTGGGAACAGCTTGTTGTATTTACAAAGCCAGCCGTCGAAATCCGTGTACATGTCCTGGAGTCCGCACAACTTTTTTATTTCTGACTCTATAAAAACAAAAGCTTTGTTGAAAATAAAAATGTTTATATAAAAATCTTTCATTTATTTTAATAGTTTGATAATATAATCAAAAAATCTTATATATAAAATTCTCGTGTCGCGGTGTAAGACAGAGAACTTCGAAACGGTTGGACCGATTTTGATGAAGTCAGCATATTGAGTAGCTCTGAGAATCGGCCAACATCTATTTTTCATACTCCTAAGTCATATTGTTACCCATTAATTATTTTTCGGACGAAATTCATTGTTTATTTTTTTTATAATGTAGCATTAAAAAATACATACAACCCAAAATTTTGACTCTTATCACCAACCATTACTTTTTAACAAAACAACGTTTGCCGGATTAGCTAGTAGGAATAAATAATTTTGATATTCTAATAATTAAATATAATCTTGTGTCAAAATCAAATACAAATGTCAAATGTCAAACTGACACTTGATATTAATTATTTAATTTTAATAAATTACTTATATACCAAAAGTTTAAACTTCCATTTCGTTAGTCGTTGTGTTTTTATCTCACATCAGCCTATCAGAGCCCACTGCTGAGCCTCTTCTCACATGGAGAAGGTTTGAGCATTAATGACCACACTCGCTCAAGACGGGTTGGTGATTTCAAACTTATAATTGTGATATAAGTCCAGGTTTCCTCACGATGTTTTCCTTCATCTGTCAGTGGTGTCTAAATACTCTTAGAAAGTTTTTTATCATTTTATAGTAACTTTTAGTAAGAGTAAGTTTGATTTGCAAAAGTAATTACGGAGAGTTTTTAGGTTCATATTTTGACGTGAATGAATACAAACTAAATTTCATATTTATATATTAAAGTGTGTATCTGTTTTTCTTTAAACAGCTTTTATCTAAATTATTGTTACACGAAAAAAAATAATTGAATGAAACTAATACTTTTCGGATTATACTAAGCGTATTTTATTATTGTAAAAATGGTTGATGAAAATCAACCGAAACGTCAGGAGTTTGTAGTTAAAATAATTATTTTCATTGAAATAAATACTCGCGGAAGTCTCATTAAAAAAATCTTTTTGTCTATCCGTCTATCTTTTTGTTTTCGCTAATCCCAAGAATATATTAAATTTGGCATGAATTTCGTAAACAGTGAAGTTACTCGGTCGAGTTTTTAACCGACATCACAAAGGAG